ACGTCCACTTATTCACTCTCAGTCTGAGGCACCCTTTTTGGGTATGTCCCAGTATGTCCTGTTTATTACATGCATTCAAACTAGACACTCGAAATTCTTGATTAGCATAACTAAATTTGTACAAAGCTGCTGGTATTGACGAAGGAGTTATTGGAAATTATAGTGGTAGTTTACTTCTTTATTGTAGCAGCTCATACAGAAATCTCGAGACTACTCAGAATGTGATTTGTACGTGGTCAAACTGTACTTCTCCACGTCTGACTCGAAAGAAGCCATGCCTTCAGTCAATGATAGCAAAAAAAAAAAAAAACAAACGGCAGTAAACGCACAAAGAGCGGTAGGGACATTACAGAGCAAACATCGTTGGGCCGTGTCTAAACAGCACAGCGTCAGCGTCGTGTCTCCTAATCTGGAAGCCTTGTAGCCGGGGGAATTACTTCGAGAGTTCCTGCCTGCGAGAACGCTGAGCCGCTTATGACGCCCGCAACGGCCTGTTGCCGGGTGACGTACGGTGGGCCATTCGCGCGCGCCTCCTGTACCACAACGAGTCCGTGGTAACTTCCAGATTTGCGCGTTATGCTTCTCCATGTCGTCGCCTCCGTGTTGTCCAAGCCCCACGCTGGGAAGGTGTGCGCTCGCAACAACGTCGGCCGTGTCCGCATGCCGCTCGAATTAGGTGCTGGCGCGCAATAACCGACGCTGTAGATGGTCTCCATTAGTGACACTATAAACGTGCGCATAGCCGGCAGGCAAGGCAGGATGGCGGGCCGCCGGAACGTGTGGACACGAACAACGAGGAACGCGTGATGACGAGCAGCCCGGGGGGGTCGACCGGCTTAGGAAGGGCCTTCCTCTTCCCCCTCTCATTACGCGACGCACATTTGCAAATCGTTAACGAAAACAATGCGCGCCCTCGCCCCCCCACCCAACTGCCGAGACAGTTTTAATTAAAGAAGCTGTTCGCGCTGTCTCGTCCCATAGCCATGCAGTTGCGTGTGCCACTGCGTGCTTCGAGCGACGCATACGAGAAAGAAAATGCCGTCTGCTTCTTGTTTGCATTGCTCATGCGCAGGCGTGGATGGTGAATTCAGAGGTGTCCAAAGCGGAGAGGGAAAGCGTGCTGACCGACCACGGTTCGTATAAGAGCGAAGGTGGCGCTAAGGCAATGGAGGGGGGGGGGGGGGCGTGATGTCGAGCGAAGTGAGGCATCATCGTATAATCAAGATAAGCAAAAAAGGTGTGAGAAAATTCGCGTTTATGCATGCGGACGGGTCCGTTGTTTACCTAACGTGGCTCTGAATCAGCATCTGGCTTCTGCAGCCCACCGCGTCTTCTCTTCGCCGTACCGCTCGGATGTCGTGTCCGCTTCGCCCCTTTCCGTTCTCATACCTTTCTCTACCGACCTCCTATCTTGGGCTCTTTTATGTTTGGCTCTTATCGTAGCTGTAGTGTGTAGATTCTGTTTAGCGAAGCGCGTACTCTGAACCAGCTGGACAAGGGAGCCCGCTTCATGCGCGAATGCGCGGTCACCGGAAAGACGCTCCTATACCTTTCGACAAGCAAACAAAGTTTACTTTTTTTTGGCTGTCAATAAAAGGCCTTCTCGAAGTCTGCTCATCTCTAGCGACCCTCTGTTGTGTTTGTAGCCTCGTGATATTTCATACAGTGCTTGCCAGTATCCTCATGTAAATGTTGTTTTAGCGTTGAGCGTACAGAAGAAACAGTGTGAGCTATGTAGAAACCACTCAAACCTTGAACAAATTACCCGCTGATTACGTTGTCCTTGTGAGGGCTGGTTCTACCTACAAAGAGGGTGTTCAACAGGCATCCTAATTTGTTTCCCAACGGTAGGCTACGTTAGCATGCATGGGAGTTTCTAAAGTAGGAGCTTGTTTCGCAAGCATGAATGGATGCAAATAGGACTGCAGCTTTCTTTCTCCGGTTGAGCAGCCTTGCAAGAAGAAAGTTTGACGGAGGCGGAGGCATAATCAGCGCTGTGCGCGCTGGGCTTGTTTAGTTACATATACAAGGAAAATCGTGTACTACAAGCAGACTTTCATTAAAGCGCGCTTAAGAACTATGAAATTGTACTCATTCTGCCACATCTTCACAGGCAATGCAAAGTAAGGGACCGTTCTTGTGCGAGACCATCTCATTGTGAGTCATCACAAGCGCCAACGTCAACAGCCGGAAAAACAACTTTCGGTGCAGTACGCATGCGTGAGCAACGTCATTACAGCGGTGTCTGGCCGCCTTGCAGCGCCTCCTAACAAGGCTGTTGTTTCGTGAGTTAGCCCATGGCTGTTAGTTTACGAACTGTGTAAATAATAAAAAGACCTATTGCTAACGAAAAACGTAGTTGTTGCGAAAATAGCTCATACATTATCTACCGACCTACACTGTTTGTGCATTTAGCTTCTCCATCATGCAGTGCAGCAAGTCGTGCAGAAAGATAAAAATTATCGAGTAATGAAGATCTCAGAATATGCAGACGGACTGTCACGTCTCTCAATGCACAACCACTGCATTTACATTTTTTACTTATCTAAAGGCTGAACTTGTCTGACATCAAGTGCAAGCACCATTCGTAGAGGTGCTACCACCCCTCTATAAAGTCGTTTGCGCATCGTGGCGCACTCGTGTACCGCGAGTAGGCCGTGGTCAGAGTTAACAGCCGTCGACCGATAGGTGGTACTGGGCTCGCGAGCGTCTACCACCACCTTCATCATCATGCTTAGCGCGGTAGCGCCAGCAGTGATGCCTGGCGTCGAAGTTATGTGGCGTTCAGGAGATGATTGGCTAGTCTTTTTGGCGGTTGACTCGAATGATTGTCTCCTGCGGTGAGTTTATAGGTGGCGAGTAAAGCGTTGGTGGCGCCACCTTCGCGGTACCTTGTGTTTGTTCTTATGTTTAATGTAGTGTATTAGAATACCGTGTAAGGTTGCTTTAGCGTGGTGATCGCTAGCGATGTAATCGTTCGGCTGGCGATATAGTCATTGTGGAATTAGTCCGATAAATGTGTTTGTTTGACTTGGGTCCGACCGGGTCTACTCCGTCCGCTTGTTCCGAGAGCGTGCCTCATTTCTAGATGCCACACATTCAAGCAGAAGAAAAATAGCTTTCGTTAAAGAACGAAGGCAGCTTCGTACTAGAACTACCAAGCCTGAACAAGAAGTGCTGAGCTGGGAAGCCTTATTTTGCTACTGTTGATGATAATTATGATGATTATCATAGCCTATATACATAGGGCTCACACCCACTATGGAGGATTCACAAGGAAAGAAATATTTATAAATAAAAGTGATAATATATGAGTGCTAATGAATTATTGTATAGTTAGAGTAAATTATTAACACTAATTTATATACCTAAGATTTCTCTTCGTTTATTCTATTTCTTCCTGTCATTTTTTCATCTTTTGAGCTATCATTTTCTATAGAGAACTTGGTTTCTATCTTGCACTTCTACCTATTTCTTCCTCTCTACTATGCTCTTTCTCGTTTTTCATATTTTGTGCTTTCTCTTTTTTGTATTTGGTGTTTGCCTCTTCAATGTTTTTTGTATTTTCATACATGGTTTCACCTACGTTACGCCAAGTGCAATTGGCTGCTGTTTGCTGATGATGAAAGGTGATCATCATCAAGGCGCTTGAAGAAAAAGAAGAAGACGTGTCTTTGGCGCTAGCGCGTGCTCAATATGTTACACATTGAGTGTTACGCCAAGAAACAACGACAGCACACGGCAGCATAGATCACTGTTCCCTAAAGTGCTGCGTAGTTACATGTCGCGAAGCCCTCGTGACTCTGAGAGGAACTGATTGCTTTAGGTGCATGTGTGCTTTCCATCAATATTGAGCACATGAGCTTGAGGTCGAATGCAGCTGAGTTTTTACATGCATATGCTGATTCTCTGCGGTGTGTATTCCGAGCTCAACTGCGTTTAGAAAACAGCACCGAAAAGTTCGGGGAATGAGCTCATCTCCGTCACCGAGTGGAGCGGCTAGAACTGTACTTGTGCTAGTGACGCTTCGGGAACTAAAATGTTCGTAGGCGTGGCTTACAAACCATGCCTTTCGCAGCCGTGTTTCAATGTAAGCTTTATTCACTTGTCACGTCATCTTGTTTATTTATGATGGTCAACCACTCACTTGTTTTTGTATCGTATCTGCGTTCCTGGCGGATCTCAACCTCCTGAATGAGAACAGCTCTCTTGTTGAGCAGTCAGTTATTGTTCATTATATATATATATATATATATATATATATATATATATATATATATATATATATATATATATATATAGAAAGAGAGAGAGAGAGAGTAAGAGAGAGAGAGAGAGAGAGAGATAATAAACCAACATTGGTAAGAATAATGGGCATTAATAACCTGGACCTCGTTACGCCGTCGCACTTTTAAACCCGTAGCCACATATTCAATCCTGGCAAAGCGAGCGCAATAAAAGAACTTGATTCCTGCAGCAAGATTTCTGTGAATGTCAACAAACTCTCATGGTTAGGAAGAAATGTTTGCTTAGTTACTTGGTAATTTTTTTTCTAACAAACTGTGCTGAACAATCTAAACATGAAACTAGGCGGTAAAAATTATTTTCTTCTCTCCCACTGCGGTGTATCTCATACAAAGACGGCACACAAAATCTGGTCATTTATTTTTTTAATGATTGAGAAAAATGGCATAGTCATGCTGTTTTAGGGGATAAATACGTGATGAGCATATTTTATCGCGAATGTCTTTCGCTTATATTCTGCTATTTTTCAAAATCCCTGAATATATTTTGTTACTCCCCAACTTGTCAGATGAACAGATGCACTTTGTATTTGAATATCGATTATTTCGCTGTATTTTACTCGTACTTGCGTAATATAACGCACACTGTGCCACTGTGGACACTTTAAGTTCTCGAGCGACAAAAAACAAATGGTTCTCGCGCTTGTGAGGCATACTAACTGCGCACGTATCTAAAACACCTGAAATATCTTTCAGGCAGCGAACCACGCAACTTCCGTCTCGTCTCCGGGAGCTACCGAATTCACGTACACACCAACGGTACATTGGTCGTCCAAGACGCTGAGCTGGCAGATGGCGGATACTACCTCTGTGAGGCGCACAATGGCATTGGCGTTGGCCTCAGCCGAGTCGTGACGCTAGCCGTGAACGGTAAGAGCGCCATCCTACATACCTGTTTCGTGAACAAACTATACCAACGCTGATTATTTAGTCGCGTAGGCGTTTTTTGCGATGCAACTATTACCGATGACGATGCTGATTATGATGACAGTGTTTATGACGAGGATGACGATATCCTTCAGGCATATCCCACACCCAATATGGCATATTGACCAAGAAGGAAAGAATGAAAAGAAAATGAAGAGCCGCAGCAAATTAGATGGCATGAAGAAATGAAAATGATCGCAGAGATAAAATGGAAGGAGCTATCGTGCAAGTAAAGTAATTATAGAGCTCCATTTGGAGAAGATTTCATACCTGAGTGGGTATCCAAAAATAAAGTGAAAATTATTATGACAATGACCCCTTCATCCTTAACATACTAAAGGCCCCCTCCTTCTGATAATATATATATATATATATATATATATATATATATATATATATATATATATATATATATATATATATATATATAACGAGATCTAACAGACAATAATGCCAAGGAAAGTATAGGGGAAGATATTCGACCAAATTGTAATGTAAATATGAAGAAAAGTGGTTGAAAAGATAACTTGCCTTGGGCAGGATCCGAACCTGCGACCTTCGAATGACGCGCTCGATGCTCTACCACTGAGCTACCACGACAGCTATCCCCCCAGCCACTTTATGGGGTTTATATGTGAATTAAACATGGGAGTGTCAGTCAGCGCCACCAGTAGCCATGGCGGCGAGCGTATCACACTCTTATGAGCCTATTTGGCGTCACGTAGCACGTGAACCTATTACGAGTGGGCAGCTGACCAATAGTCCCTCGTATACAACCCAAAGGCACTAAGTCTGCCAGTACGAGACCCTCGTTAATGAATTAAGGAAAGAAGTGTATACTTAAGGGCTCGTTTTTCTGTGTTTTTACACAATAATAATGAGATCTAACAGACAATAATGCCAAGGAAAGTATAGGGGAAGATATTAGACCAAATTGTAATGTAAATATGAAGAAAACTGGGTGAAAAGATACCTTGCCGTGGGCAGGATCCGAACCTGCGACCTTCGAATGACGCGCTCGATGCTCTACCACTGAGCTACCACGACAGCTATCCCCCCAGCCACTTTATGGGGTTTATATGTGAATTAAACATGGGAGTGTCAGTCAGCGCCACCAGTAGCCATGGCGGCGAGTGTAGCACACTCTTATGAGCCTATTTGGCGTCACGTAGCACGTGAACCTATTACGAGTGGGCAGCTGACCAATAGTCCCTCGTATACAACCTAAAGGCACTAAGTCTGCCAGTACGAGACCCTCGTTAATGAATTAAGGAAAGAAGTGTATACTTAAGGGCTCGTTTTTCTGTGTTTTTACACAATAATAATGAGATCTAACAGACAATAATGCCAAGGAAAGTATAGGGGAAGATATTAGACCAAATTGTAATGTAAATATGAAGAAAACTGGGTGAAAAGATAACTTGCCGTGGGCAGGATCCGAACCTGCGACCTTCGAATGACGCGCTCGATGCTCTACCACTGAGCTACCACGACAGCTATCCCCCCAGCCACTTTATGGGGTTTATATGTGAATTAAACATGGGAGTGTCAGTCAGCGCCACCAGTAGCCATGGCGGCGAGCGTATCACACTCTTATGAGCCTATTTGGCGTCACGTAGCACGTGAACCTATTACGAGTGGGCAGCTGACCAATAGTCCCTCGTATACAACCCAAAGGCACTAAGTCTGCCAGTACGAGACCCTCGTTAATGAATTAGGAAAAGAAGTGTATACTTAAGGGCTCGTTTTTCTGTGTTTTTACACAATAATAATGAGATCTAACAGACAATAATGCCAAGGAAAGTATAGGGGAAGATATTAGACCAAATTGTAATGTAAATATGAAGAAAACTGGGTGAAAAGATACCTTGCCGTGGGCAGGATCCGAACCTGCGACCTTCGAATGACGCGCTCGATGCTCTACCACTGAGCTACCACGACAGCTATCCCCCCAGCCACTTTATGGGGTTTATATGTGAATTAAACATGGGAGTGTCAGTCAGCGCCACCAGTAGCCATGGCGGCGAGTGTAGCACACTCTTATGAGCCTATTTGGCGTCACGTAGCACGTGAACCTATTACGAGTGGGCAGCTGACCAATAGTCCCTCGTATACAACCTAAAGGCACTAAGTCTGCCAGTACGAGACCCTCGTTAATGAATTAAGGAAAGAAGTGTATACTTAAGGGCTCGTTTTTCTGTGTTTTTACACAATAATAATGAGATCTAACAGACAATAATGCCAAGGAAAGTATAGGGGAAGATATTAGACCAAATTGTAATGTAAATATGAAGAAAACTGGGTGAAAAGATAACTTGCCGTGGGCAGGATCCGAACCTGCGACCTTCGAATGACGCGCTCGATGCTCTACCACTGAGCTACCACGACAGCTATCCCCCCAGCCACTTTATGGGGTTTATATGTGAATTAAACATGGGAGTGTCAGTCAGCGCCACCAGTAGCCATGGCGGCGAGTGTAGCACACTCTTATGAGCCTATTTGGCGTCACGTAGCACGTGAACCTATTACGAGTGGGCAGCTGACCAATAGTCCCTCGTATACAACCTAAAGGCACTAAGTCTGCCAGTACGAGATCCTCGTTAATGAATTAGGGAAAGAAGTGTATACTTAAGGGCTCGTTTTTCTGCGTTTTTACACAATAATAATGAGATCTAACAGACAATAATGCCAAGGAAAGTATAGGGGAAGATATTAGACCGAATTGTAATGTAAATATGAAGAAAAGTGGGTGAAAAGATAACTTGCCGTGGGCAGGATCCGAACCTGCGACCTTCGAATGACGCGCTCGATGCTCTACCACTGAGCTACCACGACAGCTATCCCCCCAGCCACTTTATGGGGTTTATATGTGAATTAAACATGGGAGTGTCAGTCAGCGCCACCAGTAGCCATGGCGGCGAGTGTAGCACACTCTTATGAGCCTATTTGGCGTCACGTAGCACGTGAACCTATTACGAGTGGGCAGCTGACCAATAGTCCCTCGTATACAACCTAAAGGCACTAAGTCTGCCAGTACGAGACCCTCGTTAATGAATTAGGGAAAGAAGTGTATACTTAAGGGCTCGTTTTTCTGCGTTTTTACACAATAATAATGAGATCTAACAGACAATAATGCCAAGGAAAGTATAGGGCAAGATATTAGACCGAATTGTAATGTAAATATGAAGAAAAGTGGGTGAAAAGATAACTTGCCGTGGGCAGGATCCGAACCTGCGACCTTCGAATGACGCGCTCGATGCTCTACCACTGAGCTACCACGACAGCTATCCCCCCAGCCACTTTATGGGGTTTATATGTGAATTAAACAAGGGAGTGTCAGTCAGCGCCACCAGTAGCCATGGCGGCGAGTGTAGCACACTCTTATGAGCCTATTTGGCGTCACGTAGCACGTGAACCTATTACGAGTGGGCAGCTGACCAATAGTCCCTCGTATACAACCTAAAGGCACTAAGTCTGCCAGTACGAGACCCTCGTTAATGAATTAGGGAAAGAAGTGTATACTTAAGGGCTCGTTTTTCTGCGTTTTTACACAATAATAATGAGATCTAACCGACAATAATGCCAAGGAAAGTATAGGGGAAGATATTAGACCGAATTGTAATGTAAATATGAAGAAAAGTGGGTGAAAAGATAACTTGCCGTGGGCAGGATCCGAACCTGCGACCTTCGAATGACGCGCTCGATGCTCTACCACTGAGCTACCACGACAGCTATCCCCCAGCCACTTTATGGGGTTTATATGTGAATTAAACATGGGAGTGTCAGTCAGCGCCACCAGTAGCCATGGCGGCGAGTGTAGCACACTCTTATGAGCCTATTTGGCGTCACGTAGCACGTGAACCTATTACGAGTGGGCAGCTGACCAATAGTCCCTCGTATACAACCTAAAGGCACTAAGTCTGCCAGTACGAGACCCTCGTTAATGAATTAGGGAAAGAAGTGTATACTTAAGGGCTCGTTTTTCTGCGTTTTTACACAATAATAATGAGATCTAACAGACAATAATGCCAAGGAAAGTATAGGGGAAGATATTAGACCGAATTGTAATGTAAATATGAAGAAAACTGGGTGAAAAGATAACTTGCCGTGGGCAGGATCCGAACCTGCGACCTTCGAATGACGCGCTCGATGCTCTACCACTGAGCTACCACGACAGCTATCCCCCCAGCCACTTTATGGGGTTTATATGTGAATTAAACATGGGAGTGTCAGTCAGCGCCACCAGTAGCCATGGCGGCGAGTGTAGCACACTCTTATGAGCCTATTTGGCGTCACGTAGCACGTGAACCTATTACGAGTGGGCAGCTGACCAATAGTCCCTCGTATACAACGTAAAGGCACTAAGTCTGCCAGTACGAGACCCTCGTTAATGAATTAGGAAAGAAGTGTATACTTAAGGGCTCGTTTTCTGCGTTTTTACACAATAATAATGAGATCTAACAGACAATAATGCCAAGGAAAGTATAGGGGAAGATATTAGACCGAATTGTAATGTAAATATGAAGAAAAGTGGGTGAAAAGATAACTTGCCGTGGGCAGGATCCGAACCTGCGACCTTCGAATGACGCGCTCGATGCTCTACCACTGAGCTACCACGACAGCTATCCCCCCAGCCACTTTATGGGGTTTATATGTGAATTAAACATGGGAGTGTCAGTCAGCGCCACCAGTAGCCATGGCGGCGAGTGTAGCACACTCTTATGAGCCTATTTGGCGTCACGTAGCACGTGAACCTATTACGAGTGGGCAGCTGACCAATAGTCCCTCGTATACAACGTAAAGGCACTAAGTCTGCCAGTACGAGACCCTCGTTAATGAATTAAGGAAAGAAGTGTATACTTAAGGGCTCGTTTTTCTGTGTTTTTACACAATAATAATGAGATATAACAGACAATAATGCCAAGGAAAGTATAGGGGAAGATATTAGACCGAATTGTAATGTAAATATGAAGAAAAGTGGGTGAAAAGATAACTTGCCGTGGGCAGGATCCGAACCTGCGACCTTCGAATGACGCGCTCGATGCTCTACCACTGAGCTACCACGACAGCTATCCCCCCAGCCACTTTATGGGGTTTATATGTGAATTAAACATGGGAGTGTCAGTCAGCGCCACCAGTAGCCATGGCGGCGAGTGTAGCACACTCTTATGAGCCTATTTGGCGTCACGTAGCACGTGAACCTATTACGAGTGGGCAGCTGACCAATAGTCCCTCGTATACAACCTAAAGGCACTAAGTCTGCCAGTACGAGACCCTCGTTAATGAATTAGGGAAAGAAGTGTATACTTAAGGGCTCGTTTTTCTGCTGTTTTTACACAATAATAATGAGATCTAACAGACAATAATGCCAAGGAAAGTATAGGGGAAGATATTAGACCAAATTGTAATGTAAATATGAAGAAAACTGGGTGAAAAGATAACTTGCCGTGGGCAGGATCCGAACCTGCGACCTTCGAATGACGCGCTCGATGCTCTACCACTGAGCTACCACGACAGCTATCCCCCCAGCCACTTTATGGGGTTTATATGTGAATTAAACATGGGAGTGTCAGTCAGCGCCACCAGTAGCCATGGCGGCGAGTGTAGCACACTCTTATGAGCCTATTTGGCGTCACGTAGCACGTGAACCTATTACGAGTGGGCAGCTGACCAATAGTCGCTCGTATACAACGTAAAGGCACTAAGTCTGCCAGTACGAGACCCTCGTTAATGAATTAAGGAAAGAAGTGTATACTTAAGGGCTCGTTTTTCTGTGTTTTTACACAATAATAATGTGATCTAACAGACAATAATGCCAAGGAAAGTATAGAAGAAGATATTAGACCGAAATGTAATGTAAATATGAAGAAAAGTGGGTGAAAAGATAACTTGCCGTGGGCAGGATTCGAACCTGCAACCTTCGAATGGCGCGCTCGATGGATAGCTCTCGTGGTACCACTGAGCTACCACGAGAGCTATCCCTCAGCCATTTTAAGGGGTTTATATGTGAATTAAACATGGAAGTGTCAGTCAGCGCAACCAGTAGCCATGGCGGCGAGTGTAGCACACTCTTATGAGCCTATTTGGCGTCACGTAGCACGTGAACCTATTACGAGTGGGCAGCTGACCAATAGTCGCTCGTATACAACGTAAAGGCACTAAGTCTGCCAGTACGAGACCCTCGTTAATGAATTAAGGAAAGAAGTGTATACTTAAGGGCTCGTTTTTCTGCGTTTTTACACAATAATAATGAGATATAACAGACAATAATGCCAAGGAAAGTATAGGGGAAGATATTAGACCGAATTGTGATGTAAATATGAAGAAAGTGGGTGAAAAGATAACTTGCCGTGGGCAGGATCCGAACCTGCGACCTTCGAATGACGCGCTCGATGCTCTACCACTGAGCTACCACGACAGCTATCCCCCCAGCCACTTTATGGGGTTTATATGTGAATTAAACATGGGAGTGTCAGTCAGCGCCACCAGTAGCCATGGCGGCGAGTGTAGCACACTCTTATGAGCCTATTTGGCGTCACGTAGCACGTGAACCTATTACGAGTGGGCAGCTGACCGATAGTCGCTCGTATACAACGTAAAGGCACTAAGTCTGCCAGTACGAGACCCTCGTTAATGAATTAAGGAAAGAAGTGTATACTTAAGGGCTCGTTTTTCTGTGTTTTTACACAATATTAATGAGATCTAACAGACAATAATGCCAAGGAAAGTATAGGGGAAGATATTAGACCGAATTGTGATGTAAATATGAAGAAAAGTGGGTGAAAAGATAACTTGCCGTGGGCAGGATCCGAACCTGTGACCTTCGAATGACGCGCTCGATGCTCTACCACTGAGCTACCACGACAGCTATCCCCCCAGCCACTTTATGGGGTTTATATGTGAATTAAACATGGGAGTGTCAGTAAGCGCCACCAGTAGCCATGGCGGCGAGTGTAGCACACTCTTATGAGCCTATTTGGCGTCACGTAGCACGTGAACCTATTACGAGTGGGCAGCTGACCAATAGTCCCTCGTATACAACCTAAAGGCACTAAGTCTGCCAGTACGAGACCCTCGTTAATGAATTAAGGAAAGAAGTGTATACTTAAGGGCTCGTTTTCTGTGTTTTTACACAATAATAATGAGATCTAACAGACAATAATGCCAAGGAAAAAAACACAGAAAAACGAGCCCTTAAGTATACACTTCTTTCCCTAAATCATTAACGAGGGTCTCGTACTGGCAGACTTAGTGCCTTTAGGTTGTATACGAGGGACTATTGGTCAGCTGCCCACTCGTAATAGGTTCACGTGCTACGTGACGCCAAATAGGCTCATAAGAGTGTGCTACACTCGCCGCCATGGCTACTGGTGGCGCTGACTGACACTCCCATGTTTAATTGACATATAAACCCCATAAAGTGGCTGGGGGGATAGCTGTCGCGGTAGCTCAGTGGTAGAGCATCGAGCGCGTCATTCGAAGGTTGCAGGTTCGGATCCTGCCCACGGCAAGTTATCTTTTCACCCACTTTTCTTCATATTTACATTACAATTCGGTCTAATATCTTCCCCTATACTTTCCTTGGCATTATTGTCTGTTAGATCTCATTATTATTGTGTAAAAACACAGAAAAATGAGCCCTTAAGTATACACTTCTTTCCTTAATATGTATATATATGTGTGTGTGTGTGTGTGTGTGTGTGTGCGTGTGTGTGTGTGTGTGTCTGTGTGTGTTATATCTTCCAAAGAAAAATACATTAAAAGAGGCCTTGGTTGCGCAACCTTTATATACACTCTACACTTAACTTGTTGAGCTGGTATCTCGTAAAACTTTCTTGCCTCTTTTTTTTTTAGCTCGCGTAAGTTTTATGAAGCGTTGCATTTCCTTCTTTCATCACCAGTACAGGATAGCCTACTGGGCTCGGGCCTGGGTTAACTCCCTGCCATCAGAAGCGTCGGGGTGCGTGCTGGCTGATATACGTTCATATCAATAGTGTAAAATCGGACGGAACAAAAAGAAAAAAAGAGAGGGAAGCTACAATACGAGTGCTTCAGTTTTCTTCGCTTCTCTCTTTTATTGCAATTTACAGAACTGATCGTTCCACCTATTCATGTACATTGTCGTACAAAATGGACATTACCAGCGTGAGTAATTGCGACCCACAGAAAGTTGGTAGAAGAAGTCCGCATATTAGCTTTTAGTTTATATATTTAAAACACATGCTGATATTCTCGAACCTGAAGCCTAGCTTAAGGGTCCCAAGTATCACATAGCACTTTTTTTTTTCTTTGTGCAAATGAACCAACCATAACAGCCAGTATGCGGCTTACAAACTTTCGAACCTTCAAACTTTCTTCTTTGCATAGTGCTCTTCAGTTATCAGCAGCTTAAGCGGGGCGGGGATGTAGTTGCCAAGCTTTTCATCGCGTGTATTGCATGATAGAAATGTCTGAAACTTCCTGTCTAAGGGTGTTATTCAAACTCAATTCAAACTTTCTTGCTTCGTATTCAATGAAACTGGCATTTGATATTCTATTTATTACAACAATCGGAGTGAGAAATAGTTCTTGCTTTTTAAAGACTAGATCAGGATTAAAATTTTCGACTGAATGGTTTGTAAGGCGTTTCGTTATATGGTTCTAACGCTCCTCCTAGATGCCAGGCTCTTAGTCAACCAATGCATATCCTAATCCAGTATGGTATTGATCAGTGCGGGTAACTTCCAATTGCCTCTATCTATTTTTCATTGACCGTAGTGCCTCCAAGTTTTCCTTCGAAGTTCACAAGTCAGAATGTCAAGAGGGGCCAGGAAACGGTGCTGCGCTGTGAAGCCACAGGTGACCCCGTCATGACCATCACGTGGGAGAAGGACAAACACCCGCTGGACCTCACCGCCGAAAAGAGGTACGCTCACCACTTTCGGCCTTCTTTGGAAATCAATGTTTTAGTAGAGGTTTATATTAATAGCTTAGGCTAGTTGGTTAATCCAGAAAGAGCTCGAAAGAAGAAAAGAGAGGCTACAAACACAGCTCTTCTTTTTTTTTTTGTCTTCGTTTCTCCGCAGAATGATGAATATTGGCATAGTGAGTGCTTCTCTACCTTAAAAAAAGTATGACATGACGTATTGGGTACTTTGCAAGTGTACGTGTAGTAGCAGTCCTAACGGAGTTTGCAACAGGCTCTAAAGGAAGGCCGCTCTTTCTCGTTTTGCTAAGACTGTCCATCGTTTTCAGCGCATGCGTATAGTATTTTCTAAAGCGACATTCGCACGACTCGGCCTGAAGCCTCGTCATCATTCGTGAGCGCTGTCGTTAGGGATGCACGTGTTTCACATTTGTTTCATCTTTCCGGTCTTTCAGTGATTAAGGAAGATAACAAAAGGAAACTAGCGTTCATGTATCTCCCAATTCGTCCCTGCGAGAGCATGAAATCGAGGCGATTGAAAAAAGATAAAACAAGCAAGCAATACACCGGCGCAGCAGACGACAGGGTATGGTTGACAGTCGTGAAAATCTTTCGTGAATCGGTGCTTGCTGGTTGAAAAGTATAAAAAGAGCACCTCTTGTGTGCCTTGGCCTGCTAATATCTCGGAAAACGAAAGCCATGCAACAGCAAGTGAAACTGTGGTTGCGCATATATACAATGATAATCGAAGTAGATAAGTGAGCAGTGAGTTAAATATTGTCGATTAGAAAAACGTAATAAAAAGTTGATTGTATGATGATAGATAAAAAATTAGGGCCAGTATTGAGATAGCGAGCATTCCAGGGTAAGGGGGTAATTGTGACAGATAAATAGTGGAAAATATTTCGCCACGTTCCCGAGTTGAAGCAAAGTACTCAGTTAATTAGCTATATTGAATTGCTTTCATGTTCGAGCCGTTTTTGGCGACTTTTGAATTTTTCATGTCTTTTTTTCTGTCAAACAACGCATGGCTTTTTACACGGGAAATAGAGAGAAAGGCGAAGCGCGCTTCGCGTTATTTTCTCCAGGCTCTGACCTAGGTGGCAAGAATATTCTAAAATAAAAATAACTAAACTACGGTACAGCAGAGAACGTAGATGCCACAGAATTTGCCTCCTATCCATGTTCCCTGCACATAAGACAATAGGCACAAAACACACGCGTAGCGTAGAACTAGACCATAAGACTTATCGTTGTGTTTAGTATAGTGGTTCAGTAAAACTCAAAATCCCTATCAGAGGTATCGCCGTTTGTAAAATAAAACATGATGGAAAGCGATACATTATACACCTTGACACATAGGTCGCAAAATGCGTGTAAAGCATTGATAAGCCTGATGTCCTCGTGAATAGTTTTGAAGCTGGCTTTCTCGGTATCTATTATCCGCACAAAACACTACGTTTCCCACGCTAATAAGTGGACACAAAAAGTTAACAGTGAATGAATGATAAGTATAGAAACAAATGAAACAATGACTTTATCGACGACATGACATGACTACATTTTCTAAAGCGGGCGCATTGTGTAGATGGCCCAGGAAACATGCAGGTGCCTTATTAATTTAAGATACCTTCTGAACAGTGCCTCTTCAAATCACAATATTTGTAACGTAAAATATTTCAAGAGAAAACAGATGGTGTAATATTGTGACCAGTCATGCATTCAGCGAACACGCTCAGCAGCATGAAATTGAACGCACCATAGCAACGTAATTCCGGTCGTGAAACTCGCGCTCATTTGTCTCGGTGCCCGAAAACTGCGCGCTTTTACTCTTCACAACTTTTGTGTTAACAAACTTTTTTCTGACGCTCAAAGCAACCTTCAGTTCCCTTTTAATATACACTATTCTACACTGCAGCCCAAACATTCACCTCTTAGGCAGTTAGCTTTGTATCTTAGAATATTCAAAGGTTTTTTGTTCTGAGCTGAACTTTGCCACGCTTTTTTTCACACTCATTACGATGAAATTAACATAGCTTTCCTAGAAACACTTTGCAAACTTATCAGCCCTTTCAGCGTCATTGTTCGAAGACTTTTGGCAATGAAGTAAAAGAAAAAAGAAAACTTTTAACTGCCAGTGCACATTAGGGTGCGTTAATTTGCCTTATGTGTCATTGTTTTGTTATGGATTCAAGGCTCAGGTGAGTCATAGAAGAACTTTGCTATTATTCTACGCCAGCTACACGTGGTCAGTCAACTAGGCTAGTTTTGCTTTTTTATGTATAAAAATCACAAACAAATGACTATGGAACGACTAACAAAAATGCGCTTTTCAGGATTTGCTAATGTATATGCATATTTCAGAGAAAATACTAGCAACAATGAGCACTGGTTTCGGAACGAAACTCAGGCCATTTTGTTTTCCGATGATGTGAGGGAAGTGGACAGATTAGCTGTGTTAAGTAGATCTGAGTTAATTAGTTAACTTGTTATTTATTGGTACTTTAAGACTGAATTCAAAACTCCCTCTAAGCGTAGATTATGTATAGTACGGTCTTAAAACATCACGAGCCTATTGTTAACAGCGAGCTGCGTTAAACTCTGCGAAAATGTATATAGATATAAAAAAAAGAAATAAAAAACGCACCTTGCACCATTATAGGCCTTAAACGAACAAAAAAAAATTCTAAAGAAAGGAAATGGTAAGCACACTTCGTTAAAAATTATAAGTAATGCTGAAGTTTTTTGAATAGACGGTACAGGATGAATTCGCATACACGAGAATATGACTGCAAGAATAAGAATGAGCAAATAACAACGTCCTATAATAATGAGCAAATAACAGAAGATCCTATAAAAAAAGAAACAAAAAACAATGGGACGTGCACCATGGTACTATTTTTTTTTGTCTTTTTGTGCAACTTGCACATCACTTGATATCAGTTCTTGAACAACGTGATTCAGACTTTTTTTTTACTTCGACTCCATTCCACCAGCAGTAAATGGCATCAGCCTCCAAGGAGGTTATACTAAAGCTATAACTTTCTTGTCAGACTCCGAGCTACTGGCGCCACCCAACGGAACTGCGCGCAGACGCCAAGTGGGTGTGCCATTCGCGCTCCTCGCTAGGAGGCGCTGTAGCGGGAGCGATTATCCGGATTCAAACCGTCCTTGCTCCTGTCCACCTGCGGGGAATGCCCACTCTGGGGATTAGGCCAAAAGTTGAGTGGTTTTATGAAAAAAATGTGCATTTTTAGAATAATGGAGCTTATATCATAGAAAGATTACAGATTGCCTAGGAAATTAGGGTGCTCGGTCTAATGCATATAAATATTTAAATAGAGAAAATAATTTATTCTTTAACGAAAGCAATACCCTGATTTTTATACATATCTTATGTTGTAGACACGTTAGGATAGTAGCAGTGATTAATTAGTCAACCGATTAATTTCAATTATATTGTACCTGACAGCCGCGCATGCCTTCACACTGGAGAACCCAGAAAAAGAGGCTCCAGAAACAAAATTACAGGCACTGACATTACATATGACTATCACTTAAAGGTAACTCTAAATTATTTTTTCGAATTGCAGTAAACCGCCTGCAGGTGAAAAATAATTAATAGATTGTTTCCGGTTCACCACAGAAGGTGCCCAGTGGCGAAGGTGCCTGAGCAGACCTGTGTTTGTAAAAATTTAGATTCGGTACCCGGCAGCGCAGCCCCTTGATAGCTACTTCTAGTTTATGAGTTTGAAAAAATTATCTTCGCCAGAGACATAATAAATGGCGATGTTTGGTGAAGATTGTCAGTGCTCTGCCTCCAAAGACTTCCATAAGCGCACGCCCGGGGAATCGAGCAGCAGTCACATAAGCGGATGATGGAAAGTATGGTAGAATCGGCCCACTTGTTGACGACCTAGCTAGGTAATTGGCCATTTCATTGAGAAACGAGCCTTTATGTCTAAGCACCCAAACTAGTCGGATGTTTCTCAAATGCACAGGTACTAGTGCACGGAACGCCTTTATTACTTAAGATTCAGCACCAACAGAAAGGGCCGCACACAGAGACAGAGAATCTGTTATTACAATAGCGGATGAAATTGCCGTATCGAACTCGCGTAAGGCAAGCACTACTGCTAGAAACTCAGCTAGAAAAACGGGTATGAAATCGGTAGTCGAAGGGAATAATACCAATCTAAATTCGGGCTAAATATACCAAACCTTGGCTTTTCGTCACATTGTGATGCGTCTGTAGCAGTAACAACATTTGCTGTAATACTGCGCAGGTGATCTTGTAATAAATCATGTAACAGTCTTCTCGGTCTGTTTTCTATTTCTTTCTCCTCACCTCACGCTATTTTATTTGTGAAGCACACTAAGCCAGTACACAGGCAGTATTTGTTCCTAAATCTGTTGGCAAAAGCTCCATATATTTTTCTAAACGCCAACAGTTGCTTGCTTAATCTACTTCCACCCGATTGCCATCGTTCAACAGCTACATATTTTTTTTTTGCAAAACGCAGAAGTAATTACAGAAATTTAAACCCAACTTCTCAATCATGATAATCTGCATTTCCTTAGCGGACGTTTTAAAGTGTCATCCTATTTTTGGTAATCAACCCAACGAGGCATAAAAACTTTTCATTCGGTGTAACTGTTTCAGTGATACTGTTTTGATAATAGTTGCTTTATGTCATTAAATATTTTTGTTGTTTGGTTACTCATGTATATAGTATCATTTATGTGTTGGTGTAACAGCGTTATATTTATTATGCTAATTAACTTGGATTGCAGGTGTTTTTTTAAAAGATATGTCCCAAAATGTTGAGATTGGTAGCTATCTGTACGTTTGCATGGCCTTAATGTCTAATAATATTATTTGCAATAAACTGACACTAAATTCTCAATGAGGCTACCTCTGCTCTAGCACTGATAAAGTGTCGAGATTTTTCAGGGGTTACAATCTTCTCACTCCCGGAAATGGGGCTTTAGAAAAGAGATCCTAAAACAATACCTCTTTCGTCTCATTACCTTTTATATGTTTCGCTGACTTATACAGTAAACAATAAATGAAACACGTGCATCATGTCATATGTTCTCCTATATTGGTTTGAACATTTAAAACTATAACAAATACTTGATGATTACAATTTGTTTATACTGTATATGCCACAGTGGTAAGCATAGTGATATTTTTCTTATCACTCTTCACGAGCTCTTTTGTGTCGATTAACTATTCTGGAACAATTTGTGTTTACGTGTATAAAGTGGTTAGTGTAGCCCCTTCAGTCACAAATTATGATGCGTGGTCAGAAACTCGTCAAATTCGCGTGGAATAATTCAAAGGCACTTAGTATTACATTCGAAATAAGAAAATAAAAAAGCGTTGCTCCGCCTGAGCTTTGGTTAATAAAGTTAATGAACGTGTAACTCAGTAAGTCAAAAAACTTTATTAGGCCTTAAGGAACTACAGAGTCGTAGTTACGGCCACGCCAACGTTGGGTCTTGAAGACCATGGTCCTTCGCTCATTCGCAGGCCCTTTGAACAACTCCTAGTTGTTTCTGGGGATCGTGGCTTCTGGGGGTCACAAAATAGTGAAATTGTATAAGATTGAATGTGTACATAACTAATTATCCAATGATTCTCCCACCAGTGGGCTTCAGCACGTGCATGAAAAATCCTCTAAAAGGCCCGAAATTCGTGCACAGTTTTTTTGTTTCATTTGTTTTGAGTGAAGAAAAAAATATTTTTCACGTTGGTCGTAGAACGCGTCACGTAGAGCAATCGTCGAACAAGGTAGCGAGTCCAGCAAAGCGATACTATGCAGCAATACGGAGCATAATGAAGTTAAATGATCACCATTTGTCCACTCAGGAGGCCTGCACAAATGTACACACCAAGTTTCAAGGCATTTTTTGTAACACGCGGTGTGTGACGTGCCATTTAAGTTGGCGTCTTCATTTCTACATGCCGTGACTCAAAAGATAGGGTTAGTTCTCAATGAATTCAAAGCAGCCGTCACTTCTTTTTACAATAACCCTGGTTGTATAAAGCTTAGCTTTTGTTGTCGAAGCCTTTCTCATTGTCTCCATTCACGCTCAACCTGGTGCGCATTTAAGCAGAATGAGAGAGAGTACAAAGGCGAGGCACTCAGACGTGTCCTATCGTATGCTTTGTATTCGCTAGGCAGAATGCATCTTCTCTGATAAGAAGTGTAATAATAAAAAAGCCAGCTTCACAGGAAGCTTACGCGAAAGGAAGAAATTCACAGGTGGTGTACGTCATTTTCAACTAGTTCAAATTTTACGCACACTAATGTGAATTCTTATAACAGGGATAGGCAGGCAAGGGTAAATTTGCCATAATGATTTACTGATAAAAGAGGAATTGGAATAATAATTTGTTTTGTGGCTTTCTCACTCATATTTGTTGTTTAGTGGAGTGACAAGATTGGTTCTCAAGCTTTTGAACTCGGACTGCGAACTTTTGGGCTTATTTGTTAAGGCTCAGGAAGTACTTACAGCAACTTGGTTTTGTGTGCATTTTGGTATCGGTGTTGCTTTCTTCCGCTAAGGGCTTGATTGGTTTTTTTTTTAGTTTTTATTGTATGTCAGAACAGAAAAGTAGCGTGCAACATTGCAAGACTTGCACGTGTTCTGGCATGCATGACTTAAAATTCACGTTAACCGCACTTTAAGTGAAAAAACAACACATGATTGCGATAACGCCATATTGAGGCGTAACTTAGCCGACACGTTTAATTGATGGTGGATGGTTAAGTATATATTATATAATAACGTACTCTAAGAGGCAGTGCAGACTTGTAGTGATGTTTGTGTGCTACTTTTGTAAAAGGAGCCAATTCTTTTTTGCTTTTTCAGATGAGTGTCTAACCGTTCAGTTATTTTCCACCAGGTACACCCTACTGACTGACTCATCAACAGGAAAAATGATTTCAACGCTCACGATTAAGTCAGCAGAAAGACGAGACGGGGCTCTGTATACCTGCATAGTGAGGAACCCATACGGATCGGACGAGACAAATGTACAACTACTTGTGCAAGGTAAAGGTTGCCTTGTTTTTGCGCTTTTTTTCCTTGATGACAAATTTTTTTTTTCGCTGTTGTAATACTGATGTCTTTCTTTATATACGCTATATAGCACTCAAAGTTCCGGCTGAGAAATTCGCGCTGCTAAGCCACCTCGAGCTTGACTTCTGAGAAGAAAGTCGCGGGTGCTATTCTAGCCACGGCGGCTGCATCTTGATGAAGGCAGAATGCTGGATACACGCTTACCTAAATTTGGGTACACCAAAATTCTGGCAGTGAAAAAGTCTGGAGATCTCCTCAACGGCATGCTTCATAATTGTATTGTGGTCTTGTCTTGTGAACACCCAAAATGATTCCTAATTATATTACGAGCCGCCCTGAGCTCAGTCACCAAGCTGGCGTCTTCCAGGCAACCCTGTCATAGTGAGTGTTCCTGTCATGCATTAAAACCTATACATCAGTTTCTGTAACTTTATGAAGTAAAAAAGAAAAAGAGAGAGAGAGCTCATCTAGAGAGGCATCCACTCTAGTAATAAGCTCAGTGGAACAAAGGAGCGTAAAGTGTTAATCAAGTGGGAAAAAATTATTGTTGCAGGTTCGCTTTACCTTTTGGTCGATAAAAATTGTGAATCATCACATCATGGAAAGCGACTTGGCATAGCCCAATGTGATAGTGTATACATCAGAAATTTATATCATATGGACCTATTTGTTTTCGAATCAGGCTCTTCTTCCTGAACATCGTGAAACGCAGCGCAACAGCGTCAATATATGTAAAAAGAGCATAGAATGCATCAAAACAACCACTAACTAGTGAATTTTATTCGAATTACTTCTGCAGTTACATCCTACGACCTATAACCCATTTGACAAGTGCTTCAATAAAGATGACAAAAACATGCATATGGACTACGAGACGATTCGAATGAAATATAGTCTCAAGTCAAGTGCTCTGATCTGTCTTATTCTCATGTCATTTTTTTTTTCGATGTTTCACGACGTTTCAAATCAGTCCCCTACTGTTCTAGTTGTGAACCTTTCGATGGTGTATTTCGTTCTCTATTATTGTCATCTTTGGTGAAAGCTCATGAACACTTCGTTTGACTTTATTTTGCAATAACACGTATAGGGCCTTTACACTACTCGAGTGAAACATAATCATTTTGAAACAAACTGTTTGTTTGCTTTGTGAATATTAATAACTCGTATAAGGCCTGTACACTCCCCAAATAAAACATAAGCACTTCGAAATAATATTTTCAGGGTGAAATACAAACTGCAACATAAATTATTGTGCAGAGCCTCCATCATCGCCTGCAGATGTCCGCGCCATGAAGATATCAAGCCGGTCGATAGAGATATCTTGGTCTCCTTCATACAATGGAAACAGCCCCATTCGGAAGTACCACGTGCACTTCACAAACACTACAAGTGAGTTCGTTTGGTTATCTACCTTATCTTCAAAGGTATCAGAAACAAATATTCAAGGTACCTGTTTTCTTAAGCGCTACAAAAGCCTGCCGATTAGAACACCAAATCGCTAAATGATAACGCGGAACACAGGGCGAAACATTTACGATCAAAATGTTTTGACCTGTGGGGTCTGTGTATTCGTCTACATACAGCGCATGCTGTAAGCCCTGATAGGCTAACGCGAGAGCAGCTAGTGTTTGTGCGCGGTGGTTCGTGGCGCATGCGCCATGAGTCGACACGTTCCACTAGTTGCTGGGAAAACGGCGCTGCTTCTCAGCGTGCAACTCTTTTTACCTCGTAACTAGCAAACAATGGAGCTGGGATGGACGATAACAAACATGCTTTACATTTAGCAATGAATATGGGTCGAATGAAAGCGTCATCACACTACGTAAGCAAAAATGAACGAGTTCATATCTCATCCTCAAGGCTCTTTTTACAGGCGGAGCGGCGTACCTGTGTGTACCCCGCGCCGCCTGTGTGAACCTCTGTGTACCTCTGTGTACCTGTGTGTGTGTGTGCGTGTGTGTGTGTGTGTGTGTGTGTGTGTGTGTGTGTGTGTGTGTGTGTGTGTGTGTGTGTGTGTGTGTGTGTGTGTGTGTGTGTGAGTGAGAGAGAGAGAGAGAGGGACAGATACTTTATACGTTATTTATAATTATGAAACCTAGTGAGATCGCGAAGGAGATGCTTGAGTCTGCCACCATAACCCATGGTCTCTTCGCTTCCACCAGTGACCAATCACACGTTCGGGCCATTAGTTTGTCCCTTTAATGTTCCGCATGATACAATAAGTTGTAGCTTTCATGCACGTCGATGCTGCTCTCTCTCCAGACAGCTCAAGTTCCGCGTCTGCAGATTAGTCCTATAGAGTGCGTTTTCTCAAATGGACGCTGCACTCGGCCAATGAAATCTCATTAGCCGTAACACAAGGGGCCTCAGAGTGGAGCTCGCGAAATCTGATAACGCTTTTGTCTGTGCAGGCTGGGACATTCCCGGCGCGACCTCGCACCTTTCGGTTCCCGGCACCGAGAATAGGGGCATTGTTTACAAGCTGCTGCCGATGACAACCGTACAGGATAAAAGTGGTCGCCTGAAAATGCCTTGGGCCACAGTGCGCCCAGTGATACACTCGAAGTGACCACCAGTGAAGAAGGTACGGAACACATCATTTAGTATTTTATTGTAATGAAGGCTTCATAAGTTATAAATTTGGAGCTCATTCAGGGCTATAGTATAACACGCTTTGTACGAGGTGACTGAAGTTTTCGTGGTTTCACTGTGCAGGGGCTGTTCATTGAACAAAACTCGTTGTAGCAGCAACAGCATTGTGAAAGCTCTATAATGAGTTTAATTGCCACCATACCGCTTATTCATGATGAAATACCTGAAATGAAACTGCACGTTTGGGACTGTAATTAAATGATAACAAGACGTCCGGCTATAATAAACCCAGAACATATAAAATGATAGAAAAAACAATAGTTCTGTAGTTTTGAATATTTTTTTTATAATGTTGTATAGGGTTATGAAGAAGTGAATGAGGTAGCGCCATTTTCCGCCCCAATTTTCTGGCTATTCTTATTTATATATATATATACTTATCTGTTTGTGTCCTCTTCTGCAGCCCCCGGCGGTCCACCGCTACACGTAAAAGTTGAAGCCACTGGTTCACAATCATTAAAAGTGACGTGGGAGGTATGTTCACATTGATCATTCTAACACACTCGTCGATATTTCGATCACTTATTCTTCTCTTGATAACTTTTGCAGTCAATCAATTGATCGATTGATCATTCACTCAATAATCAAGTCTCTATTAAAGTTTCTACTTACAAGTATAGCGAGGATGCTGAGAAAAAAACAAGAAAGTGTGTGCCTACGATATTAATAAAAATACCATAAATTTGCATTAAAACGCTGTTATCAAGTCATACAATGAATAAACTACCTAAATAATTTTCTTGCAAGAAGAAAAAGAGTTCATTGTGAAGTAATGGGGCGAATCGCGCCAGTTGGGACATACTCATGACGATCAGTGCAAAAAATAACACAAAAAAGTACACGATACAAGCGCTGTCTAACAAGTCAAAACGTCATGGGAAAACCTGTCATTTATACAGGCATAAAGGAAGGCACTAAACATCTTATCAGCACTAGGGTTGACAAACTTTTTTAGTGCTTTGTCCAACGTGATTTTCTTGCGCCTTTTCAGAAACATACAGCAAACATTTGAACTAAAGCCAATCGAGCTCATGCGAAAATATTGTGAAATAATATATTATAACTTATTCAATAAAAGTGGCACTTCTAGATTCTGTTTCTTCGTAAATGAATCATATCGTGTGGTGAACTGTTCACACTAGCTCAGTTTACCCTGTTATTTAACTGGATGATATAACAAACTTCAAGTTTCAGTCTGAGTTCCAATCACGCTAGGGAGCATCTTTGTTTCACGTTGTGTTACAATACGTAAGCACACTTATGGTGGTAGCTTCGCACGTGGCGTCATGTATTTCTTCAAAGCTCGTGGTTACGCTAAAACCACTAGCAAATCAGTATAAGGTAAAACTTCTGAGAAACATGGAACCTTGAAGAGATGAAAAATTCTATGAACATCTCATATTCTATAGAGTGCATTTTCCTCAAGATAGTTGCATTCCTTAAGACGGTGTCCGCTTGCGGAAACGTTGCTGAAGTGGCACCCCATATTCCAAAAATTTTTGAGCGAATCAGCGCTCCCTTGTTAGAAGTAATCGGTCACCTTCTCTAATAAGGTGTACTTCACCCAAGTTCAGTAATCGTTACGTTGCTATTTTCACTTAAATTTCTTCGAAGGTGTTAACAATAACCCAAAAAACTTAATCTTGCTACTTTCATATCTTGTAATTCACTGGATGACAACATTTTGTTTGTTGTTGTTTTCATGTTTTTTTAGCAGCGATGCTATTTTTAGTTTAGGCTTGCATGTGTGGGAACCATTTATCTTCGATCACAGTGAGATTGACCCACAGAAGAGGGGTAAATCTCCCTGCAGACATATGCCACTCTTCTCGCCGCTCCCACAACTCACCACTACGCCCACAACGGCCCCACCACTCCTTCCACTTAATTTACACACTTCCTTTTCACTTAATTCTAACTTCATTCCCACTGCATATCGTTTCATTCCTACTTCACTCTCAGTTCATTCAACCCACTTCACTCAACGGGCCTCTTTCCACTTCATTCGATTCCACTGGATGCCTCCAGCTTCGCTGTTTCATTGGTATCCCCAAGCGGGGCTCGCTGAATTTTTCCACGCATCTCCAACTTTCCCATTTAATTCTCTACGAACTTTCTTTTATTTCATTCATGCGCATAGCCGCCTCGCAAGGAGCTCCAGCACGGCAAAGTGCAGGGCTACTACATCGGCTACAAGGAGCAAGACCGCGACGACACCGAGTTCCAGTACAAGAACGTCGAAGCCCTGGAGACAGGCGGGTCGCGACGTCACCACATGAGTCACCTGACCAACCTCAAGCGCAAGACCACCTACGTGGTCAAGGTGCAGGCCTACAACAGTGAAGGGGCTGGGCCTATGTCTGACGACACCAGTGCCACCACGCTCGAAGCAGGTGAGGTGTACCGCTTTCTCGAGCGTAATACAAGCGCTGAAGTTCAAATGTATTAGTTTTCACCATCAACGCAATACTAACCGTGATTTAGTTTCGCCCAGTATTTAGAACGCTATAAATATTTTACAAGAAAGCTGTTATCTTCGAAACGGGAGAACAATGCTTGTTAAGAATAATGTTCAATATTTCAACTAAATATAAAAGTTTGGTGCAAAGTGATTAACAGAAAACGAGAACGGGCTAAAAAAAGTGCATACGAATGAGGAAATAACCTTGACTGTGTAAATTCTGTTAGTATCCGATGCTTTAGTACTCGTTTTGCTTTGTTCTTGTTTAAAAAATATTACAGAGTACTTTTATGTTCACACCAAACACTACTTTGTTTACTGTACCATAAATTTCTCGGTTATGTGCTTTTTGTTCTACTGTATAGGTTTTTATGCGGCTTAAATTAGTTTAGGTATATAAGCACACCATCCGCTACGTATTTCCTTTTGCTTTCATAATATAGCCAAGATGTAATGCTCACATCAGCCGGCAGTCATAACAAAAACATATATCGTATTTGCTTTCAAAGCTTTCTGGGCTGAGGATGGGCTACGCTTTTTGCGGACAACTGGCCTCAGAGACAGACTTTAGTGTCTTATACTCTTTGATGTTGCCTGTCCTCTGTCGCAATTTTTTTGTATTTTCTCTCTCTCTTCGCAACATTTCTTTTTACCATCTTTCATTCCCCTCACCCCGTTCCCCAGCACAGGGTAGCCAGCTAGTCCAAAAACTGGCTAACCTCCCTGTCTTTCCGCTTAAACTTTCTTCCTTATATCGTATTTGGTTATTTTACTTAAAATAAGATAGAATGTTTACTGGATTATGGCGTGAAGAATACTTGCAGCAGAAGCACAGGTAAATTTAGACCGTCAATGTCTGTCAAAAGTTATTTCTTCCTTACGAGTGGCCATCGCTACCATAATAACATGCATAGTTGTACTATCAGGTTCAAGTTCAAACACTTCAAGTCTAACGCGAAGTCAGTACTGTGCCCTCAGTGACACCTTATATATGAATTAAATATCATGGAGTGTAACCGTAAAATTTCCAATAATAATAATAATAATAATAATAATAATAATAATAATAATAATAATAATAATAATATCTGAATTTTTACGTTCCAAAACGATGATATGAATATGAGCGACGTCTGAGTGGAGGGTGGAAATTTCGATAATTTGGCATTCTTTAGCGTGCACAGACATAGAAAATATATTGATGCTTTGACATATGACACTGGCGCCACCACCTCGGGCAGATGAATGTTTTCCTACTTTCGTGCATCCCAACGGGAATAATAAGGTGACGAACCCAATTGTCTTGTAAAATGCGCAACCCGATTGTCTTTTAAAAGATACAAAAACTGCAAAACTACCTTCTGTTGTGGTGGCACCGAAGCTCATCTGTAAAATAGTGTATGCAGATTACGGGGCTTGTCAAGATGGGTATTTTTTAAGGGCAGCAATGTGTGCATTTAGGTTCACTTCATTTTTACTTGAGAGAGAGAATAAAGTGAGAGAAAAGCAGCGAGGTTAACCAGAAATCTGAGCACCCCGTTTGCTACCCTGCACTAAGGGAAGGGAGAATGGGGAATAAAGATGGGAAAGAAAGGGAAGAGCGAAATAGACGCGCGAAAGAGAAAAGAAAAAAAAAAGTGAGCTGGGGTGCTATAGCCTATTCAATAGGCCACTACCATGCAAAAAGTTCAATAAGGCCTTCACTGATTTGCTGTGCAAAGACAGATTATGTCGCCTTTCAAGCACTGACTATTCTGACAAAGGTCTGTCATCAAGGCGAGCTAACGCAGCATGTAGGTGCTGTCTTTGTACGCTATAACGAGGGCAGTAACAGAGAACGTGCTCTATCGTTTCATCGCTGCTGCAATGATCACAAGCAGCACTGTCTTCCATGCCGATTCGGAAGGTGAAAACTTTGGTGAAAAAGCGACACCAAGCCACAGTCGGCAAAGCACCGTTGTCTCAAGTCGAGATATTCGGACGGAGGCCGAAGTTGAATAGACGTGTCCAGCCTATGCAGTCGCGTGTGGCGTAAGCATTCAGCGTTCGACTGGGATTTTACTTCTTCATTGGCGATGTGTCAGATTTTCATTGCAGCATCAGTCTTAGAAAATGGAATGAATTCTTCTTCACCATTATCACTTGAGCTTAGCAGGCCACTCAGCACGTTAGCTGAACTAGTTACTGACTGTTTTCAATCTCCTACACAGCAGCATGATACTAATGAAACACTTACAGTGTGTTTCCTATGCAATATGTCTTGTCAATGAGAAAGTTACTGTGTCAATCGTACCACTTCAATCATCGACATGTGTGAACTCTCTGAAGAGCAATGACGTCTCTCGAAATATTTTTATCTCGAGATGACAGCAATATACAAGCAACCCAATGTCTTCAAAAACGCTTCCTTCCTTATCGCCTTATTACAACGAAGGTATGATGACCGGGAATGAAAACCATAACCTCGCACTCAAGAACATAATTTGATATTCGCCCCTTTGCCATTACCAATTGCAGGGCAGCAAACCAGTTACTTCCTGTGGTTAACCTCGTGGTATTCCCTTTATTTCTCTCTGATAATCAATGAAGAGTTGTCGCGGGCGTCCAGTGCAAAATGTGAGGCCCTTCATACGTGTTATTGCAGAGTTTCTGTGAGCGAAACATGCTCAGCATCGTGTAGATACGGACATTGTTCGCCCAACACTAATTTTTTGTTATGTTTTCTGTGCTGAGCACTGTTTTGTTTTTTTCTGAGAAGACGAGTCATTTCTTATTGGCATGTGTTACTGGCCTTCTTATAGCTTCGTTTTTTTTTTTCTTTATACTTTTTATCACGCCGTTGTGTGTGAAGTTCAGAAATATTTTGCATGCTTTTTTCATACTCTGCCAGTGCCACCGACATCGCCGGCGCTGATATTCAAGACAAGCACAACCAATTCGGTCACCGTTGAATGGGAACGTTATCCGGATGACATGACTGTAAGAGGTGAGTCATGCGCGTGTTATCAGAGATGAAAGGACGCGAGAGCTTAATGTCTTTTCTCAGAACACTCTGATTCTTGTAAGAAAACGAGGACATAGTTCCAACCATACGCCGGCACACGAAAGTGGAGCTTACTCAAGCTTACTCACTAAATATATTTTGCGCTTGGAGATCACTCCGACTCACCAATATTTACTGCAAGCGCACTCACTCAACTCAGGTTCATGGCCAGATCTGAGTCTGAGTAAGTCAACTTATGAGCGAGTTTGCCTATCTATGCTAACTCTTTAGTCGGTTAGAGATACTGAATATGCCAGGAGCGTTAAAGAGTAACAAGTAGCATAGCTATCACAAGTAATACAAATTCAAGTTTTCGTAATGGGGTAGCAGTATAGAGTATTGAGTACTGGTGAGTGTTTTAGTCATTTTGGTGCCTGAGGTACCTATTAAAAAAGATCAAAACTCAACATGTGACGTTGTTAAAAAAAAAGGGGGGGGGGGGGGCTGTCCTTGTAGGACGAGTGGGTTCAGCTCGCTCACACCAGCATTAATTCTTTGTTTCGGTGTGGTAATTTTAAGCCGCATTTTACCTCAATACTTGTCCACGTTTCCGATAAAAACAGCAAAACTGAGTAGTAACCACCAATACTGCTCTGTTATGAAAACGTGCTAGAGGCGGTGATCATGCACGAACAACCACTTGAGAGTATATAATTAGCTTAAAAACATTGGTACGCTTACACGCAGCAGGTATAATCAAGTTTGTTTCAAGTTTTTTTTTTCATTTTCGTATTTAGCGCGTGCACGAAAGTTGGACTTTTCTGTCCCGCAATCGAACTAGATGTCACTTTCATCGCGGAGTTCATTGATCGATTTTAGGTGGAAGCTTTCACCCACATCATGTAGGTGGCGGCACTAGTCATTCACGCCATCTGCACTGCCTCTCCCCCACCCCCTCTTTTTTTTCCCGCGCGGTTCTTTCTAAATAGGACACGCGACGTTATAAATTCTATTTTCTTGTATTTTTAACGGTGTTTATTATGCACGCGTGATAATATCATAAGGCAACAAATTTAATTTACTCGCTGCAATAAATTCTACATCAGCACTCTTACGCTAGTGGTTTTCTGCCGAACTAGATGACGCCCTAGTCAGTATCCTTATTGATTACCTCACTACATGGCATTGCTAGTAGATGGCACCTCCAATCCCTTGCGGGGACTTCCTGCGTTCGTACTAATATCCGGAACATACGTGCACTTTGCAGCAAATTAGACAATTATAATTGCCTATTATACAGAACAACTAACTCGTCATGTAACTGGTCATGAAAAAACAAAACAAAATGTCTTGAAAATTGTCTATATGGCACCAGGAAGCTGAAAAATCGTCAGTATGGCAATCATGCTGAAAAATGTCCTCACAAAGGATTTCTGTTCGAAGTACAACATTAAGTGATATCAACAAGAGCCTTTTTATTAGCTCATTTTCTGCAACTAGAGATTTGTGATTATACACAGGTCATTAAATTTTTGTACCGAAAAAAAATTCGGTCTACTTTTTGTGGTTTGAAGCTCCGGCTGTTTCGCTGGTTTGAGGCAGCCTGGATCTATACCTAAGCTAATTTGACAAAGAGAAAATGGCGACTAGCATTGCACTCAGAGCCCTAGAGTAATGAAATTTTACGCTATACAAATACTGACCTGCGCATGGAAAGGCCTTCTTCACCCTTCAACTGCGATGTCATATTTTAAGCTTGTAATTTCGCTTCTTAGGAAATTACCATATCTGCTACATGATAACACTGGACATCACTTCATTAAAAACACGCCTGTTACCACACGTTCATTCTGCTCCAAGAGTCACTGCTTGACATATGAAATAACAATGTTGCAGAAAATAAAACGTTACGCCACATGTGATAATGAGCTGGGAAAAACGTTGATTTCGTCATTCAACAGGGAGGGTAGGGCGTGCTTATTGCAGATAACTGATGACCCCGACACGCCTCTTTAAAAATTACCATTCCGGTTGTAAAATGACACTTTGCGAAACTTCTGCCATTACTATTAAAATTTTCTGCCCTAAGCAGGCCTCCTCTCTGAAACATGTTCCTAGATCCTATATTGTAATGATTGGATGGTTGTATTGTTTAGGTTTCTTTATTGACAAAATACGTCGAATCATCTTTTCCAACGTGTTGGGTGATGTATTGTAATATCCGCTTCAGCTGCGCAATTATATGGCGGACTGCGAAAAAGCAGGTGCATTACAACGTCATTACATAGCACTGAAACTCTTTTATTATATAACATCATATGGCACTAAATATATTTTTTCGGCATATTTTTTAAACAGTCACAGTTATTATCACAACTGAACATAGTTTAGCGTATGGTTATTCATCTCCTTTGTTTTACGAAAAGTAACTGAAACAACTCCTATGAAGCACGTTTCACAGTTACTCTTCACAGAGGCACTATAAAAGGCAAAGGCCAATTTCTTGAGAGAATTTATTCTTGAAAAAAATTCTGCTCTTAGAAATGACGTCTGGCACATGGATGCATAGACCTGCGACAGAAACTCTGTATAATAACTACTCGTCGCACTGAATGTGTATTGAAGCCGCATTGGAGAAAACACGGGGGTTAAATATATCTTACAGTGTTTGTGTTTTTTTTTGTTTTTCTTCAGAAGAGTATTCTGCATAACCGCGGTCGAAACAAGTCGGGTACAAACTGCCCGTGCGACTCAAGTTTCTGTGGTGTCTTCAACTAAAACACTTCATCGTGCTTGTCTCTCTCTCTTGTTTGCTATTTCCGTGCAGATTACGTGCTCCACTACCAAGCCGAAGGTGGCGAGTGGCAGCAAAAGGCCATCAGCACTAGCTCGAACAAGTTCACCCTGGAGGGACTCAAATGCGGCTCTCTCTACAGTTTCTACATGACGGCAACCAATAGCCTTGGTACTGCCGAGCCACGTGATATCATTTACGGCAGAACCAGAGGCGCAGGTCTGTATTTACCCATCTGCAGTATTGCATGCATGCATGTAGCATAGTACTATTTCTCGGTAACCATAAGGCGACTTCCCTGTTCCTTGGGATGGTTTTTGTTTTTCGGGTCGAATACCTCAAAACAATAACCAGAGGTTGACCGTTTCAGATTGCCACGACATAAAACCTTCCGACGCATCTTAATTTTACCTGCAACTGGGGAATGAGAACTAAGAAGTAAGAATTTTATTAAGAATAAAAAACATGCAAATATCAAGTTTAAGAAATATATTTAAATTTAGTTGCGAGTCAGCTCCATGGGGCTTTGCGCATTCTTTTTTCTACGCCCTCGTCCCCCAGTGGGCTGCTAGAATTAAGATGAATACGTGCCACCTTGCTCAAGTTTCATATTTCGTGCAACTCTCTGATGCGTTACGTAGCCTTGATAATCACCCTCTTCCGAAAGAAAGGGTTCTGGTACACTGGCCAAGTTCGCCCCCAGCACAGAAGGCTTTGAAGGCATTGTTGCGTTTTTTTGCAGACAACCGGTCTTAGGACAGAATTTAAGCGTTGTCTCACTCTTTCTTAATTATTTATTTTATTCTCGCTCTTCTTTTTTGTAACTTTTTCTTTTTGTCATTTTTACCCCTCTTAACTTTTTCACTTGTGCAGGTACACAGCCGGCACAAAAACTAAATAACCTGAATGTCTTGCCACTTGTTTCTTGCTTTCTTCTCAGAAAGGCACATCCAACTAGTCACGCACGACTATCTTCTCATTTAAACATATTACTTCATCTTTTTACGTTATTAAATGATATCAGTATATTTTTGTGTTTTCGCTCGCCTTGATGTCCGTGAACTGCATGAATGTCTTTATTAGCAAATACAGCATCCATGTTTCGCGTAGCTTTCAAACCACTGTGCGAGCTAATGTATTCAAACCTGGCTTTCGTAGCAGCATTCGATAAAGTACTTTACTTTTATGTTGGCGCTTGTGACGTACAGCTTTACTACAATAGCTAAAGAGCCTGTATATTTATTGTTTTTATGCAATTTTCCAGCGCCTGTATCTTCCAAGCGAGAGAACTTCATCGACGTGAACGCCACATCTGCGACACTGAAGCTGGACATGTGGCAATCTGGAGGCTGCCCGATCCTCCAATACGCTGTGCAGCTTAGGCCAATTGCCCCTGCTGGACAACCTCAGCAGCAGCAGCAGGCCTGGAAGCTCGTGTCGGACGTCATACCCGGACACCAGAGGCATTTCGAGCTGCGCCACCTATCTCCCGGCAGGGAGTACGAGGTTCGAGTCAGCGCTCACTCTGACGCCGGAACCACCGAGGCCGACTACTCAATAAGGACGCTCAACAGGTCGCACATGGGTCAGTGTCATCATCGTAATCATCATCGTAATCATCATCATCTCTTTCAGCTCTGCCAGTACAAGAGAAAGAGAGGAACATCATTTATTGGAAAGATGGAGGTGTTGGCCTAGCCATTCACCTTAAAAGCAACATACTTCAAGTGCTATAGGTGATGAATATGATATGGTATACATCAAGGGTGTATGCAGAATTTTTTTTTTTTTGAGGGGGCGGTGTGCAGGCCCCTTTCTGATCTAGTGGAGGCCGGGCAGCAGTTACATAGGGATTTTGCCCTATGTATGTTATGGATGAATGGATGAACGAACTTTTTTTTGGGCCCTCGGAACGCACTTTGGCACGTTGCGGCGCGCTCTGAAAAAGAAAAAATTCTGGGAGGTGGGCACAGGACCGGTGTTCCACGACCTGGCTTATCCACTGGTGTACATTGACAGAAAATTGTGAAACAACGCATTAGCTCAACAAACTTCCTTCGGAGCGTCAGCCTCGGTTATTGTAAAATTGCGTCGTATCGAAGTAAAAGCAATCAATGAGCAAGTGTTTCTTGATATTGTTATTCTATTCAGTCCCGGATATTGTGTACTGAAGCTGGTTATTTTTGCGCGTCATTACACATGCGACTTTTATGCGCGTGTTTTTTAAGTGTGTTTTATTTCTATTAGGCAGATTTGAAAACTGTCACAAAAGAGGAATATGCCAGCGCAGTTTTTCATACTTCAGCGCTTATTACTTTCATACTGCTTTCGAAAGTGCAAGAATTTGCTGTTTGTAACTTGGTGCATGTGCTCAGCGCTGTTTGCCATGTTACAACCTAGCACAAATGAGCCCGGCTGACGGCCATTTTTGCGCAATATTGAATGCGAAGCCTTTTATTGTGAACCGAAGGCACTTTGACCTCTTTTATCTACATCTAGCCACCAACGTTCGGACACCATCATAGTCGTCTCCTCAACATGGTATACACAAACATCGGCAGAGAAGTACACGAGTGCATAACGAGCACGATTCACAAGTCATCACATCTATAACCTGAGTTGCCCATGGCTTGCGTCGTAAAGTCATTTCCACCAGTCACATGTAACCAACACTGTGACCCGTGTTATTCGGGTATGCACTACAGGTGATTCAAAATATACATTGTGCCCGAGATACCTTCAGCCAAAGTTTAAAAATATGCCGACAGACGCAATTGCGGCGCGACCAAATGCATGTTGATGACCGTTGCCTGGAGTTATTCCGACTATTTTTTGTATTTTAAAACATTGTTTAACCACATCTGTTTACTTAACTAACTCTTGAATGAACGAAGATGGTTAAAAAATTTAAATGAGAAAGTTGTAGATCTGTTTGCAAAATGTCTGATGAGACAGTTTTGAATTTTACATCTGTTAATTATTAGTCTTTTTCTCCCAACTACAAATGTCCACGAACTACAGAAAAAAATACCACGTGATGAACCGGCTCGCGTGCCAGTTCACACGATGATTCTAGTGCTCCATAACGTTCCGCATATGAACGACCATAGCATTTGCCCGATTGTGCTGGCTCGACAGGGCTTCGCTATCGGCAGCAAAAGTGATAACCGCTTTGGCTGCTTATCGCTGTCATGAACTTGTGTGACGGAAGCGTATCATTCGTACGCGGAACGTTAGAGAGAACCAGAATCACGGCGCGCGAAGGCGCGCCAAGGAGTTTGTCACGTGGTATTTTTTATAAACGATAGTCTTTCTTGGGGACCTTCCACGCAAAAATTTTGTTCTCTCTGTCTGTCTTTCTGTCTGTCTGTACATTTGTCTATTTGTCCGCCCTTAACGGTACCCCAAACGGCACCAATGTGACCAAACGATACTCCAAACAGCCGACCCATTCCGCAGCGCCCACCAATATTGCTCAAGATTCAGCGTTCATACTTGTGCGATTGTCAATTAAAAAAAGCAATTATTGCGCATAATTGAGGCGCCGTAACAGTGGGTTAATGTTATGTATGTGTATTTTTTTTACTAGAAAAGGCATACATAAGTAATTCTAAGGACCATAGCGTTTATCACGCTGCGCTGACATTGCAACGCTTGCACGAAAAGGCAAGTGTTTCCAACGCTTTGCTAAGACTAGGGTGCCTACTTGCTTCATCTAGGGACCTTCGCTAAGACTACACGGCGGTGGCACCTACTCGTCACCTTGCGTTCTACACCTTATCACCTCCGAGACGGGCGCGCACGCCGCGCGCTTTGGTTTTCAAGATAACTGCCAGATAGCGCTCATGTCTCACGTGTGACGGGACTTGATGCGCTCGTTCGTCTCCGCTGCACGCTCGAGGCACTCTAACGCAGTGCCAGCGCCTCCAGAATACCATTCACCAATTTTCTTGCGCAGAACATCAAATAAACGTTTTGTTCACTCTGTCCAGACGCGACTATCGTTCTTCGACGACATTTGCAGTGTAACATGCAGATACGGGGCCAATTTTTTTTTTCATTTCGCGGGCATTTGTAGTTACCATAAAAACACTAATAATTAGCAGATGTTTTGTTTGAAACTATCTAATCGGACGCTTTCCGAACCGATCTACGAATTTCTCATTGAATTGTTTTAGCCATCACCGTTCCTTTAAAAGTTGGTTAATTAAATATATCTAACTAAACAATAGTTTTGAACACAAATATATCATGTAGCATATCCACGGAGTGAATGATGATGAGTGGGGCGGAGTGTCCGTCAGCCCGTCCGTGCTTCCGTCCGTCCGTTCGTTCTTGCTTCCGTCCGTCCACGCGACGATCCGTGCATCATTCCTTGCCTCCGTCCGTTTGCCCATGCGTCCATCCGTGAGTCCGTCAATTCATCTGTGCGTCCGCGCGTCCATCCGCCCTACGTACGCGCGTCCATCCATCCGTTCGTTCGTATACTAGTCTGTCTGTCCGTCCATCCGTCCATGCGTCTTTCCGTGCATCGATCTAGTGAACACACCAAGTACCGCGGCATTTTTTGGGTAATTTCTCTCTCTCTCTTCGAAACGTTTCTTTTTATGATCGTTTATTCCCCTCACCCCTTTCCCCAGCACAGGGTAGCCATCTTTGCAACATTTCTTTTTATCATCTTTTATTCCCCTTACCCCTTTCCCCAGCACAGGGTAGCCAACTTTGCAACATTTCTTTTTATCATGTTTTATTCCCCTCGCCCCTTTCCCCAGCACAGGGTAGCCATCTTTGCAACATTTCTTTTTATCATATTTTATTCCCCTCACCCCTTTCCCCAGCACAGGTTAGCCAGCCGGTCTAAGAACTGTCTAACCTCTCTGTCTTTCCACTTAGACTTTCCTCCTTTCTTCAAAGTATCGCCATCTCCCATGTCGCAACCCTTGTGGCACATACATACATACATACATACATACATACATACATACATACATACATACATACATACATACATACATACATACATACATACATACATACATACACACACACACACACACACACACACACATACATACATACATACATACATACATACATACATACATACATACATACATACATACATACATACATACATACATACATACATACGAAGGAGGAGGAGGAGCGACAGACCCGCGCTATAAAGGGCTTCGCCCCTAAAAAATAATCTAACTTTAGGCAAGGGTCAGCAAAATGCATTTGGTCGCGTAGTAATTGCGTGTGTCGGCATATTTTTATAATTAAGATAACTCGGGCACCCTGTATATCAACCCAAGAGCAGCGAGAATACGCTAAGAATTCTAAAGGGAGATTGAAAACGAGCCTGAGCCGGAGAAAATGCGGTGCCGGCGTCGGCGGCGTAATTCGTGCTGGGAGGATTCATATGAATAAAAAATTAAAAACCTAAATCAAGGATCAAGCGGAAATTGAACCCGAACTTTCAGCTTGGCAGTCAAGTATTCTAACACACAGCCCCGGCATCGCTTTCAAGAACTTCGTAAGAGGACCATATGCAAGAGAGAGAGAAACGAGAAAAAAGGAAGGCAGGGAGGTTAACCAGATGCTAGTATCCGGTACGCTACCCTACACTGGGGTTGGGGAATAGGGGGTTGAAAGAGAAAGAGAGAGTTAAAAATAAATAAGAGAAAAACACCGACACACACGCGCACACAAAATCAGTCCACTCAGAGGCGTTCCGACAGGCCAGTAGTTCGCAAGAAGCACAGTAGCGCTTGCACGGCTTTCTTCTGTGACGATGAGTCATGACGATGGAGCAGTATACTTTCTTCTGACAGCGGCTGGTCATCTAACTTGTTTAGTGTATTAGAAATGTGTTGTCTTTCCAGGTTGTATTCCGGGCAGTCACAGAGGATATGTCGAATTGTTTCTTCATCTCCGCAGTGTGCACAGTCGGCGGTGTCGGTCATCCCTATGCGGAACGCGTACGCACGGGTAAACGCGACTCCCAACCATAGTCTGCACAGAGCAGTAGCGTCACCTCGTCGAATTTTTGTTGGAAGCTGTAAGCTTAAGGTTGGATCAAGGGATCGTAACCTTGCATGCCTAAAGAGAGGCTCATTCCTAAGAGCCATGGAGCGTTGGCGAGCAAGCATGCGGAGCCTTCTAACAGCGTCCGTCCTTGAGAGAGGTATTGACTGGTTGTTGTCTTCTGTGTGGGCTGAACGGGCAGCTTGATCAGCATGTTCGTTACCGATAATTCCACAATGGCTTGAAAACCACTGAAATATAACGTGGCGCCCTTTCTCTGTCATATGGCGCAGCATTTCTGCTGTTTCAAATACCAACTGCTCGTGTGGACCACGGCATAGATTTTACAGAAGTGACTGCTGTGCCGCCTTGCAGTCGCAGAAAATCGTCCACCGTTGCGTGCTTTGGTCGTTAATGAAACGCAGCGCAGCGCGAAGCGCTGTAAGCTCTGATGCCGTTGTTGTGGTTGCATGAGCTGTCCTGAACTTGATGGTTGTGGCGTGCGTTGGAATAACGACCACCGCAGTTGAGCTGTTTGGCAGGACGGAGCCGTCGGTGTAGACGTGGGTGCAGTCTTGGTACTTCTCGTACAGCAGAAGTAAGGCGAGCTGCTTGAGGGCTGGTATTGAGAAATCTCGTTTTTTTCTGGATGCCTGGTATTGTCAGATTGATAAATGGCTGTTTGAGGCACCATGGAGGAATCGAAGGTCTCGCCGCGGGCGTAAATCCAGTTGGTAGGGAGTCACCATGCGTAGTTATTGTTCGACAAAAGGAAGTATAAGGTCTATCCGCTGGTAGAGAGGCTAAGTGGTGATGGGGGGGTCCGGCCCACATGCCTTATGTGTGTCCTCAAGGCTTCAATTTCAATATGGGTCTGCACGAGGTGGTATTTGGCTAAAGCTATAGTCGCCACTGTTGAGGCACCCTGAGGCAGACTTAGACATATTCGAAGCGCTTGTGCCTGAACGCTTTCTATCATGCGTCGACTTGTTTTGCTGGCGTTTGATAATGCAGGCAGAATTTATTGCAAAAAGCCTAGGAAAAACACCTTGTACAGTCGTAACATAGTATTAGGCTGCATTCCCCAAGTCTTTCCAGCGAGAAACTTGAAAAGATGGCATATGCCTGTCAATCGCTTTTTCAAATACGACACATGAGGGCTCCTTGATATGTCTCTGTCGACTAGGACACCCAGAAATTTGTGAGATCAACGATTTGGTATATTTTGACCGTTAATAGACACTCTGTAATTTGACATGGGTTTGCGCGTAAATGCCAGAAGAGCGAACTTTCCGGAGGAAATTTCCAGGCCTCGATTGCGGAGATACAAAGCAGTTGCAGTAGCAGCTCTCTGTATTCTCGCTCGTAACTGCAGGCGAGTTACCGCGGATGTCCATATGCAGATGTTATCAGCGTATGTTGATAGATAAATATTGTTTGGTAGGTGCGTACGGAGAGTAATTAGTGTTATATTGAATAGCACGGGGCTCAGTATACCACCCTGAGGGGAGCCACGACAACTGAAATGTGCAGACGTGTTCCCGGCCTCCGTACTCACAAAAAGGATCACATTTGGAGATAACTGCGTATCCACTTAAACGTTCGGCCACCCACTCCAATCTCTTCTAGTGCGGTAAGGACGGCTTCATGTGTCACGTTATCATAGGCTCCTTTGACGTCAAGGAACAAAGTGGCGCAAAGACGCTTATGGCCTTTCTCGTGTTCAACGTACGTGATTAGGTCGATGACGCTATCGATCGATGACCGACCACGTCGAAAGCCAGCCATGGCATTTAGGTAGATCTCATAATACTCCAAATACCACTCGAGTCGGCCGAGAATCATTCTCTCCATCACTTTACCCACGCAACTAGCCAATGCGATAGGGCCATAGGAGGAGAGTTCCAATGGTGATTTGCCGGGTTTTAGCAGTGGTACGAGACGACTAGTTTTCAACTTAAGGGGACAGTGCCCTCTAGCCAACAATCATTATACAGCTGAAGAAGAGCTATTCTTGCGCGCTCACCCAGATAACACAGGACTCTGTAGGAGATTACGTCAGGTCCTGGTGCGGATGTACATTTGCATGAAGCGAGTACCGCCTTGAGCTCCTGAATGGTGAACGGGAAGTCCATACAGGAATCACGTTGTGGCGGACAACTGCTGAAAAGTGGTGAGCTGCTAAGTGATGTAGTTCGCCCTGATAGTCCGGCGCAGAACTCTTCAGTAACGTCCACATCTGGTCGATTTTGGTAAAGGGCTAAGGCCTTGAATGGTGACTTCTGAATGGGGGATGACCGCTAACCTCTTACCGTTCTCCATATCTGCGATGAAGGCTTACGAGGGTCGAGTGACTCGCAGAAAGTAATCCAGCGTTGGAATTCTAGCTTGTCCGACCGACGTTTGATCTTCTTCTGCATACGTCTAGCAGTCCGTAAATCTTCTATGTCCTTCATGCGCCGGTACCTTCTTTCAGCTCGTCGTCGCAAGGCTCGAAGCCGCTGCAGCTCTACGTCGATGTCCACGATTCTTACAGGGCATGGAATCGTACACACAGTCTCTTTTACAGTGCTCTTGATGGCCTCTTGTAAATCGGATATGTGTTCTTGGCATTGGTCTTCCATACGAGACAGAATTTTTTTTCCTGTCCACACTTTTAACCATGTCGCGCACTTTAGGAGGCGACAATTCTCTGATCTTGACGTATGTTGGTATGTGATCACTCCCATGCGTTCTATATCCGTAAACCATTAAGTATGTTTCACTAGGCTTCGCGAAACAAAAGCCAAGTCGAGACAGCTACTGTATGTGGAGCCACGTAAAAATGTTGGACTGCCATTGTTAAGTAACCAAAGTTTGTTGTCAGAGGCAAAAGACACCAAGTTTCTGCCCTTCATGTTGGTATTCTGACTTGCCCATTATGTATGATGAGCGTTAAGATCCCCGATGATAACACACGGGTCAGGAGTGAACGCTATGATATCTCGTAGTCTTTTCTGATCGAACCGGCTTGATGGTGATAGGTATGCGCCATCCACAGTGATGTTGAGCATCCTCTTTTTCACTCTTAAGCATACGTATTGGTTTCCGTCATGAGGTGGTACCGGTTTAAGGATGTAAGTAAGGTCTCGGCGAATGAACACCAGAACCTTGCTGCTTTCAGTAACAGTAAACGACATCAAAGGTTCGTATCCCGAGAGTCGTATTGCACTCGATAAGTTCGGCTCACAAATGACGATTACGGGAAACATATTGACGTGCACAAATCGACGAAAGTCACCAATGCGCGATCTCAGTCCCTTGGCATTCCACTGCAGTATTGCTGCTTTACTAACCTCATCCCTGAAAGACAGTGGTGGGTTAGCCATGGTCTACTCTAGGGCTGCTAGCGCTGGACTAAGCGCGTCCAGTACTTGAAGGGCACTTTTGGCTTACTGTGTATTCATGTCGCTTAACAACACGCGAATGGTGTCCACTAATGATCTTAGCATCACCATCACGCGATGATCTGGCTTCCCGGCCGTTGCAGCATCTTGTGCTTGTTCTTGAGGCGGCTTCTGTTGAGGCTCAACAGATCGTCTAGGCTGAAGGGGTGGCCATTCCTTTGGTGAGAGAGATCTCTCAGCATCTTCTCTTTCAGCGCAGATGTTTGCCATGCTAGGAGCCGCGCATGTCGATTTCACTTGAGTTTCTGAATTTCTCGTTAGATTTTGTACTGTCCCTCGTGAGAAACTTCAACGATGACGGCGCCTTCGCCTTACTTTTTGCGCAGCTTCTCTGTGAGTCGAGTTGTCTCGCACCATTTGCCTCAGAATATAAATCTCTTTTTTAATCCGAGGACAGTCCTTGGAGGAGGCACTGTGAGCGCCGTGGCAGTTGGGGCATTTCAACGTAGTTCTGTGTGGTGTTCAGTGCATCGGGGGCACACTTCGGAATTTCTGCAAACGCCCTTCACGTGGCCAATCTTCTGGCACTTGAAACACTGCATAGGATTCGGAATAAATGGGCGAACCTGGTGACGAAAATGTCCAACCTTCACGTAAGAGGGAAGACAGTCAGCCTTGAATGTTATTCGCACACCACGAGAGTTGCCTAGGTGACCAGCTTGCACAATGACGTTGTTTTCACTCACTGGTTGTATCAGTACAGGAAAATCTTCATTGGCGATTTCAGTGTTTATATCATAGATAACTTCTGTTACGGTGTCACCATTCGCTGGTATGATGGATCGGACTTTCATGTTTCCCAGCTCCGACACATGCTGTAGCGTGCTCATTGCGCTCGGGCTCATCACGTCGATTGCCAAAATATTCTTTCTCGTGTTTATCCTGATGTCTGTAATCTCGTTAGGCACAATGTTTTCAAGATACAAGGACAGTGCTAGCCTGTTGAGGATGCGTAGATTGGCAGTAGTGGTCTGCGGCACAAACAGAATGGAGTGAGGCCATCGCTGAGGCACTGTCCTCACAGTGGCTGTACTTGATGTCGATGATGTTGTAGCGAGTGAGCGGAAGACGAGACGGCGGCCAACGCGGTCGTGTCTTCTCTCGTCACTTTATTCCACGCCTGAAGCGGAGCCGCGGTCGGCTGTCCACGTCCGAACCGCCAAGTGCGCTAGCTTGTTCTAATCCTCGCGCAGCTCGAGCTAGCATCAGCTGCATGAGAGGCGCGGCGCGGTGATCAAGAAAAGATGATGGTGATGATGGCACTACAATGTGTTCATGATTCTTCGTTTCGCCTTGCGGTAGAGCACAGGTTCGAAGCCGTCTTCCGAGGACTCGTAGTCTGATGCAGAGCACGGCTCGGTGTCCTCGCTCTCACTAGATGCATTACCACGCTTTCTTGAAGCAATGCCCGTGGATGAACTGGTACCGGGTGGGATCTCCGGGGATTGTACATCCATCACCATGGTGTAGGGGGCTGGAGACCCCGCTGTTGCGCGGTGGAACGCAGAAAATACAGCACAGACCGTAAGATGTGTTCCTCAAGAGAAGCACTTCGTCTTCTTTTCTAGGGATCCTTTCCTATGCAAGCTTAGAAAAAGGCGAGGCAGCTGAGTTACCAGTTGGGGCTATCAGATTTTTAAACAATGTTAACAAGCGTTACATATGAATCCATGTGACTCCGCAAGCTATGGTGAGCTGTTACTCGAATACACCGAGAACAGTCACAAGTGACATGCATCTCCCGCAACAGCAGCGTGCGCTTTGTTGCGATAAGAGTGACATCTCTGCCTAATGAGAATACCGACGTTACGTCATAGCATTAACCCTCCAGGTGTATATATACATGACTCCTCGATATACATATTGACTTTGACCCACCTCTTACCGCGTGGCATAAAACGAAAAAAAAATCTGGCTTAGACTGCGACTTATTGACTGATTCGCATGAAATCAATTCCCACGATGCGTGGGACGTGCTGAATTTTTTTTTGTCACACTCTGTACCTCGCAGAAGTGGCCACGCATAGCCAAAAGACTTCATGTATACTTCGTGAGATAAGTTCCTTCTTGTTTACGCAGCCGGAGTCAGCTCTACCCATGGATCATCCGGGGTCCAGGCAGGAGAAGGTAGCGATGTGCCGCTCTACCGGAACCTGTCCATTCTACTTCCGGTCAGCGTTTCCGTGCTCGTGGTCATCGTCGTCATCGCATTGGTCATGGTGTGCTTCCGGCGGCAGAATGACGCCTACAGCACCGCCAGTGCCGCCGATGAGAATCACATGGGTGAGCATCTGTTTAGTTAAACATCTTCAAAGCCATATCAGTGTTACCACTCACTACCAGTTGTCTTAAGCCAGCTCTCCTACAAGCGGTGAACAAGCGACAAGTGGTTCTCTGATGTAGGCTACACATGCAAAAGTAAAACTGAAGAATGACAGTCAGCGCTACCACTTTTTTTCAGTGGCGCCCTTCTTTCTGCATGCACTTCTTCATGCCATTTGCTGGCCTCTTCATCGATTACATCCTAGTGACATTACTACACAGGCGTTTTTAAAACCTAATACACAGTCAAAAAATGGCAGTACACAAACGCATAATAGACAAGATCTAGTAATTCACACAAAGGTCAAGCAGTGGTTTGCGTAAATTGCTGCATGCATTCCGACATTGTTTATAGACCGTGTAGCGCATAAACATCATGGTTCCATGATAGTGCACCATGCAAATTATATAATGAAGGGGCAATATTGGATGTCACCTTTGGTTGAAGTGTACTTCAATAGTTACGTTTGATATAGATCACGACATTTATATGTATACGTTAGATAAATTTAGCTTATTTCTATTTCGGTAACGTCTGGCACCAGCTTACATGCGAAGCTGCTAGACATTCACCGAACACTTGATACGAAATTAGATAACGCCAGCACTTTATGACGCGATATACTAGGAGTTGTCCGCCTTTGTCGAACACTGGCTACAGTGCCAGTGCGCTTTAAACAACGCCACATTGTCGAAACCTTCGGAACCCTCCACTGTACGTCGTGCCTAATAGTACTATCATGGTTTTGGTGCGTGGAACACTAGGTATAATTATGTCTTCAACAGTGTGAACCGAGGAAACAGTTACCCTCTAGTAGGATGCAAGCAGGCATGGCGAATGAAAGCAAGAATGAAAAAAAATCTGCTAGCAAACTTCTCCTTCTAAGTTCATTATAGAGTTCAGGGAAAGCATTACCCGTTGCAGAGGAGGCACATTCCTCTGCAACTTAGACGAGTACCGCGCTATACGAAAGAGCGCAATCGAGCAGCACTTCCTTTGCGTGCCAATTTTGCGAAAGCCATCCAGTGAGCTCGACTGCATTGGATGACGTTTATCACAAAGGCTTAAACGTTATTTCTGATCCTTCGTCCTCGGAAAATAGCACGTGCAATTTTTAAATGTTGTATTCTCGGAACAACCCAAAGTACCCTCTCTTCTGAATGCATGACATTGCGAAGCTAACTGGTTAGTACACCACTGCTGAAGGATTGCTCAGATTAAAAAAAAAAGAACAAACCGTCATGCGTAGGCGAAATGTGACTTTCGGTCGCCGTCAGACGTTGCTGTGCCAAGCCGGGCTGAGCGTGTCGGAGTATTTCGCGCATCAAATATTCATGGCACTTCGTTCGAACCGAGCAGCACGTTTCGAAATGGAACGACGATCTCAAGTAGCTCAGTGCGACGGAAACGCGACTCTCAAATATTTAGGGCTACAAGCGTCTCCTCCAAAACTGCATGGCAACAGGCGCAAGGAGACCGAAAAATTCGATACATTACGTACACAACTGCTTAACACGCTTTTCTGTTTTCCATGCCTCACGGCTACACGTCATAAACTTTAACTCACTTTAGACGTTCGTTCAGTGACTTAAGCTGCTTCTCGAGCATAGGAAACAAAAAAAGCCCCGCCTCCTTCGAAGCACTTGGCTCTCTGATTGAAGAAGGCGAACGCGTACTCGTGATCGTATACCAGAGAAAGCTCTCAGGCAAGCGTATAGTAAAAACATCTATAGGAACAATCAGCAAAAAGCATTCGCTGACGCGGCTTTGCTTCTTTCTGGCGCTCAATGCCAGCGACATCTTCGGCAATGTCGCATCCCCAAAAGCCAGTTACGCTCGTTGCAGAGGCTGTGCCGCGGGACACGTCTCGTCTAGTTGACGTGCCCTGTATTCGCTCGCCGAGTTGAGCACGCGAAGAATTTGCAACGCCATTGCGTAAACCACCGCTGCGAGCCTAAATTTGATTCTGCGCTCGCGCTCGCTGCACACAGGAGAACACTGCGGAATGGCTATATAAAAACTGTAGAGCTGAACGTCGGCTGTAAGAATGCCTGCGACTAAAGCATCCAGACAGCTTTGTAGTGAGGATGTTTTTTGTTGTTGCTGTTGTTCTTTAGAACAATGATGGCGTACGAGTCTAGGACAGGTGTAAAACTGGTTTAGGTTCTTTCACTGCTCTCCAACGGAGTTATTGATGTCTCGAGTCACGTGCATGGGGCCAACGCACGCGCAAGTTGGTGCTACTGAAACTTGGGAAAACTTGATAATGTGGTTTTCGGCAGCCTTTGTTCATTACACAGCTTGATTTCATTTTAAGTCCAGCCACAACGTAATGCTACTTCCACTAAATATTCCTTCCACGAAAGTCTGTGTTTCAGTGCACAATTTTTTCTCTTGTTTGAGAAAGAAAATTAGTATATCAAAGTAGTGGCCTTATTGTATTAAAACAGTGCAGTGAAGTTGACTTCACGACCTTCATGCGGCGTCAGAGACTAGTACTATCTATAGTATTACAGCTAGCTGTAAATATCTCAAACTGTTTGTTCAGACATTCAATGATACCTCTATAGAATCTTTATACGACGATATACGAATATTGCTTAATCGGGGTGTTATCATAAGGGTCATTTGACGCGGTATATATAGTCCCATTTACCACCTTATACTTTGTAGATCTCGCAAACCTTCACGTCATACATGCATAATACTGCATATTGCAATACAACAACAACACACGAAAAGCAAAAGTAGGTACACGAAGTTTTCCAGTACCAAATATCTGTAAACGATGTTTCTAGGATACAGGTTGACCCAATATATGTATGCGTACATTGACTTCTTGTTTGACGTTTCACAACAATAAACGTACCGTTATATTTACCAGATCTTCAAAAAAAATTTGTCAGTCATTTTTCCACTGTAAACATCATGCGAATACAAAGCCGCCGTTTTTCCAGCTGTTTTGATGTTCTCTAAAAGGCCACAGCTTCTAGCATCGAACTGCTACGTATCAGTGTATGTGCTATCACGTTCACATGCCGGGTGACCAAGGCTGTGTCCTTGTAGCGAAAGTAACGACGCTCATTCTCCTCTTAAGTAGTGGTATTCTTAATAATAAAATAATATTGAAAAGTTAGCCTTATTTACATTTATTTATTCATTCAATTGCATACACAAAAGAAAGAGGGAAAGTGCGAGTTGGCAACTGCCACCTGGAGAGGCACAATGCTAACTTAGCAAAGGCTTGTTCCTTGTAACAACGTCTCTTGCATCTTCTTCTACTACTTTCTCAGGCTTGAATATCTTTTTGAAATAATTCGAAGGTGATAGGCGACTTCAAAAATATTGCCACCATAATTATGACAACCGTATAATTCAATATTATCTGGGGCTAGGGTTTAATGGTATGACGTAGATATAGTGGGAGAACAGAACGACTGCAAAGGGACAAGAAAGAGAAGAGCGTCCCTTTGGCGTCGTTTCATTCTCGCGCTATCTCTACCGTCATGTCATACCAACTAGCCCGAACCGCCACACTTAGGTTGAACGTCATGGAACCACGATATGGTTATGAGAAACACTGAACTAAATGGGTCTAGAAATTTTGACCTTATGTTGTTCTTCAACGTGAACTGACATCACACAGTACATGGGTTTTCTGCCATTTTGCCTTCATCAAAATGTGACAGCCGCGGCTGGGATAGAACGCACGACGTTCGGATCAGCAGTTGAGCACCGTAACTCTATACCACCATGGTGAGCGGCCGCGTAATTTGCTGATGGTATTGTTTTGTATATTAAAACCATTCTTATTTAGAGGAACATTCTCATTGGCCTAAGTTCACGTGACGGGAGAATGGTTATTCATAAGTGCGCAAATATACAGATTCTGGATAGTGCGCGAAGTGACCTATGAAAACCATTTCTCGTTATGATTCATTCTCATGACAATGGTGTTTGAAAGAACACGACGGCAACATTTCATCTGATATAAACGCTCACGCTTTTAGACCTTCTGCTGGGATTATAGGGGTCGCGGGTTCGAATCCCAGCTGCGGCGGCTGCATTTCCAATGGAGGCGGAAATGTTGTAGGCCCGTGTGCTCAGATTTGGGTTCACGTTAAAGAACCCCAGGTGGTCGAAATTTCCGGAGCCCTCCACTACGGCGTCTCTCATAATCATAGCGTGGTTTTGGGAAGTTAAACCCCACAAATCAATCAATCAATCAATCTGGGAATATAGGGAATTTTCATAATGCTTGCTGTCACACAACAATGGGTGCCTCCAACATTTTGTTTTCCGGGGGGGGGGGGGCACCCTACATACCAAAATCCAAAATTAATCGAAATGATGATATGATTGTGAGAGACGGCTTAGTAGAGTACTCCAGAAATTTCGATCATTTCGGGTACATTAACGCGCATCTAAAATGAAGGACACGGGCCTTTACTCTTGCCCTTCACCCCTGGTGAAATGCGGCTGCTGTGGTCAGGATTCGACCCCTCGACCTTCGGGTCAGCAGTAAGGTACTATTACCTCTAGGACATTTTGGCGGGTAATTATCGTCTCTTAGTGGCAAGAAAAACGTGTCGTGGACTGTTCTCCGTGCATGTGCAGACGACCCGCTCCGCAAGTGCCAAGGCAGCACGGATTCCATGAGCATGACCGAGTTCTGCGCCAAGAAGGAACGACTACAGCAGCAAGACGCCTACGGAAAGGCCACCTCGTACTACGCCTCGCCAACACGGAAACCCGTCCCTGTTGCATCAGGATCGAGGAGAGGTAAATTCTTCAAGTCTTCGTAGCTGGGAGCTTGGTGCACACTCGCCCGGCTGGGGAAATATATATATTCAAATATTCAAAAAAGACGTTTCGGTTCCCACACAGAGCATTGTTCACAATGAAGCATGAGTAGCAAGTTCTCTGAGTTATAAGGTCACCTAGCCACACGTTTCAGGCAGCGCGTATACACAGGCGGAAGATTACCACCGTTTTTGTTCAGCGTATGACCAGTGGTCTGAATGAAAAAATGACACGAGTTCCAGTCATGGAACGAGATTCGTTTCCGTGTTGATGAGAGAAGAATCTTTTGCCAGTGGAACATATGTCTGGTGCATATATACATGTTCTGCAAGTGCATGTGACGCCAACTTCTCGCTTTTCACGGCATTACAGTGTTTGCGTAACCTCCTCTTGAAATGACTGCTTTCGATGATATTAACACCTGTGCAAACCTAACATGAGCATGGTATACCTGGAGGTCGTAGCGACGCTTTTTTTTTTCTTAGTTAAAAAATTGTTTGGTTGAAATGGCCGTGAATGTTGACTATGGTCTGAATTGCTGATTAAGGATTGGTAACCCCATACGACGAGCTCCTGCTGGGCAGTCTCCACGTCTCTACGTGCGCCTTCTTTGTTTGAGTGAGTCCGCGGAGCCCGTTGCAAGTGTGTCAAGACGACAGAACACTTGTGGAAGGAAGAATTCAGCGATCTGAAAATCAATGAAGGGCCAGTATGTGTGCTCTTCTTGTAGACAGAGAGCTTCAAGTGCTGCATGAATACATGGGCGATTGAAACATAGTTGCAATTTTAGCTACCAAGCTTTTAAATATGCAGCACAACACTGCAATTACAAAGTTGATACAGAGCGATTCACTTTTGATCTTTCCTACAATATCACGTAATGAATGTTTTCAGCAGCCGCTTCTTCTCGTTGGCGTTCAAACCTGATATCAACGACACTAAAGTAGAACGACAAAATAAATTGGGTTAATATTAAATCCTTAGTTTGAATGTGACGTTTATTGAAATCACAATTTCTTAGAATGCCTATTAGATTTTTTTATATTGAACTACAAGAAAATATTCAAGTGCACTGCACCGCCCTTTTAGTTTTGATCCTGGCTTCCTCCGTTTTCAATCAGTATGAAAAGTTATTGAATAGAAATGCTCTCATTCGTTTTTGCTTTACGTAACATACCTTAACAAGCCCTATTTCGCAATGTCGCGCGAACGCTGCCAAAGAGCGTAAAGAATTATTGATCCCACTATTTTTTTATCTACGAACACGTAGCGGTGTTTTTTTTTTATTTTACGATTGGAGGCCCAGCTTTTGAAGGTGCCTGAAGGCCTTCATTAGTGTCAAGTCTGAGACCACTTTTATCGATCTCTCTCGCTTTTTCGCTGCTGCTCAGAACGTCCTCTTTCATCTTATAGTGATTTGCACTTTCCGTGTAAAGGTAATGTTCGTTGGAGAAAAGCGTACAAGTGAAAACTTTCCACGAATCATCTTTACGCGATTCACCCTGTGACTGGTTCTGGGTGTTACTCGCAAATGTTAAAAAATAAACTTCCAATAGCAATGATGTATCAAGGACATAAATATGACGTCGCCATCGTGTTTTCACAAAATTACAGTACATAAGTATGTTTATCAATGATTTTATTAGGTGCAATATGTAGTGGGGTCATCTTTTCACTGTGACTTGTTCGGGCATAACATAAACTAAAGAGGATTTCAAAGGACGCAACGGATTCACTACACGCACACTGCCAAATAAAACCTGTGCTTATCGAATCTCCTGATGAAGAAAACGGCTGATAAAATGAAGCTTTGGGGAAGCATTTATTTGAGAGTTCAAGTGTGCTTCACGCCACCGCAAAAGTTTTCTCTTTACACAAAGGTGTTCTATGCCAGAGCCCACCACGGTTCCGCTGACATATTTCCGTGGCCCCTAATCTTCTAAACACATAAAGGTGCCCCCCCCCCCAATCTTCTCGAACGTGCCTTGTAAATGTATCTTCATTGAACACCTGGATACACTATCTTCCATCTCTTCTTCTTCGCAGCGCGCCGAGGGGAGGAGGGCCACGAGTACGCCGAGCCTTACGCCGCTCTTCAGGCGCAACAGCAGCGGCTACTGGCGGATGCCGACTGCGCTGCCGCAGTGGCGATAGCCTACAGGGTGAGGCAGCGCACATTTGCATAACGATGGTTCCTCGCTTTCAAAACCTCGGCAGGTGTTATCCGGCAGACGCCGCCCAGACTGCAATGTGCAATGCAATTACGTACCGTCGATGAATGCTCCCGCAAGGCAGATATAGGCGAGCCACTGCACCGTGTGGCCTTTGTATCGTTTGCAACGCGCACGACGACTTTGCGAATGCATTGAGGTGCATTCGAATGCGCAGAATTCCTTGCGTCCTCTTGCGAGAGGCGCTCTGAATTTGGCCATAAGCACGCTGTTGCATTGTTTCTCGGCAAAAAAACGGATAAAGAGTTCAATGGGCGAAGACATTTCTATATGTCTTGCCAACTTGTTGTGTGGCGCGATGCTTTTGTTCTTTCTGACACGCTGTCAGAATGCGCCGAGTGAACCAGAGGGTTGGCTCGTTGCTGCAGCAACCGAAGCAACAATCGCAGTTGTATCAATTATCTTCACATGAATAAATTCGCGGTGCACGAAACAAAAGGCGCTAATCCTCGCTTTCGTAAGATAAGAAAACATGTCCTAATTATGCCTTCAGTGTGTGGCATTCTTTGGCTACGTCGAAAACGACGACGAAGTGTCTCTTCATAGAACGCTTCTGCTTTCGGCTCCGAGCATTGTTATCAAGTTTTTCGCTTTTTACGGGAGACGCTGCTCCCTGCCCCAAGGCGACGGACGCGGAGTCATCCACTGGTCCGCCCAGCCAGAGGTCTGCTATGGCGAGCTCCTCGGTAAATCAGCGCGCCTGGCCCAGAACCAGTGAGGCCAACGGTGATAGTCACTGCATCATGGCTGTGGACGTGGAGCCTTCTGCGGCTCTGTCCGACCATAGACCACCTTTGGCAAGCTCGTCGCGGAAACGAAGCACCTGTTCGAGCGCCAGCGAGGACACGGAACTGTACTCGGCCACTGGCGACGACTCGTCGGATGACGACTTCGAGACCGTGAGAAGCAGGAAGGCCAAAAGAAGAAGTATCAAGTCGTCTTCACCAGCAGGGACATTAACGTCTCAGTCAAAAGGAGAATGCTGGCCGCACACCATCCTCTTCATGCCCGAGGACTCCACCATCAGCCTTCGAGCAGTAAACAGGCAAGCTCTCTCTATGTACTTTGAGGGGGTAGCACCAAACGACATTAAGGATATCCGGGTGAACACGCGGAAGAATATTCTAGCTGTGGACACAATGACTGCCAGCGCCATAGACAAGCTTCGCAGAGTATCAGATTTGGGAGGCATCAAAGTTCGACCGGTTATTCCAATGGACGGTGCCTGCACGGCGGGAGTAATCTACGACATTGATTTGGCCATAGCAAATTCGGACCTCCCAACTCTCATAAAACCAGCGAACGAAGGAGTTCTCATCGCGAATGTACTTCGCCTCGGAAACACCCGATGTGTAAAGATAATGTTCAAAGGAGATTCCATTCCGTCGCATGTCAAAGTGGGACACTTCCGACATCCTGTTCGACCATTTGTCCCTAAACCACTCCAGTGCCATAACTGCATGAAAATTGGTCACATCAAGAGTGTATGTACAAACACCACAGCATGCCCCCGATGCGCTGAGCCGCACACTGCAGACGCATGTCGGGCAACAAGTCTGAAGTGCAGAAACTGTGATGGTCCGCATGATGCTGCATCCAAGGAATGCCCTCGGATTAAGAAGGAAATCGCCATTATCAAACAAATGGTTAGGGACAATTCAACCCACAGAGAGGCTGCTGAAAGGGTACGGCGGCGACGTAGTCGCCGACGGAGGCGTGTAGGACAGAGTGTTGCGCATAACCCATTTCCTCCGAGCACGAGTGAAGTAGTAAGCACGAAGCGAAATGAAGTGGAGAAGCTCACAGCTGCGGATGAGTGGCCTACGCTTCCGCGTACGCAGCCGGCAAAGGAGCCTCCTGCGAGGCCTCGCCGCCCTACACCTTCCACCGAGTCTACTTCCGTTGAGGATGTGTCAAGGGTCGATCGACAGATCATCCCGATGTTACGATCCCTCGTCGCTGTCATGGCAGACATACTAAGAAGCCTGGGAACTCCAACCGCTCGAAGCGGGTTACAGGTGTTGGACGCGCTGAGCCCAGTCCTCGCCTCCCTCGCGTAGAGTCATGGCAGGAGATCAACAATCGTTCCGCAAAGACGTCAGAGAAGCATCAGTCATCCAGTGGAACGCAAGAGGACTTAGATCACGGATTTCCGATTTTCGTCAGTACGTGTTTTCTAACCGTTTCCCAATCATCGTAATATGCGAACCGAAATTATCAAACCCGATCAGGCTATCCGGCTACGAATCAATCCCGTCCAAAACCCGAAACGAAAGCAGCAAGGTCATTGTGTATATTCGCCGGGAGCTTACCTACATCATTCAACCTGTGTCGCCTCATGATGAGAACCAATATATTTGCCTGACTGTGAAGCAGAAAACCCTCACCTTCACATTAATAGGTGTCTACTTATCTCCCTCAGCCCGTTTTGATTGCCAAAGACTGGATGACATTCTTTCGAGCGTCCCGGATCCGTGGATAATTATAGGAGACTTCAACGCCCACCACCCAATCTGGGGAAGTTCAAAAGTCAATACCACGGGCCGGAGGCTGGCTTCATTTGTATCGACTCATGAACTGTCTCTACTTAATGATGGGAGCCCTACATTTCTGCGAGGATTAACGTACAGCAGCTGTTTGGACTTGACGTTCGTGTCACGTCGCTTCGCCACAAGCGTTAAGTGGTTTTTAGACATCGAGACACATGGTAGCGATCACATCCCCAGTTATCTCACCATCGAAGGCTTTGCTAGCAACCACCCGCCGAAAACCGTACGGAGGATCGATCTTTCAGCATTCACAACCAACATTGAACACGCTTGTGAAAAAGGCTTAACCTCTGGCATTGAGCAAGCGATCAAACAAGCAGCGCAGAGTGCGATGCGCACGCTGGCATATTCTTCAAGGCCCTCAGAAACGGACATGGAGTTAGAGCGACTCCGTGCGATTCGTCGGCGTGCGGAGCGTAGATATCGACGCACAAAATCCATTCAAGATCTACGGATGGCCAGGCGCATGCAAAAGAAGATCCAGCGTCGTATAGACAAACTGGAGTTTCAACGGTGGGCGAAATTTTGCGCGAGTCTAGACCCTCGCAAACCGCTTTCTCAAATATGGCGAACCGTTCGAGGCCTACGCATATTTCCCCAACAACGTTTTCCGTTTAAAGCCTTGGCCCTTTTCCAAAATAGAAGGGATATCGAGGTAGCGGAAGACTTTTGTAGGAAGATTGCGGGCCCGCCAAATTGCACAGAAGCCCTTACTGCTGATTACACGCCACATTCACTGGACCCGCACCTGGACCTGCCTTTTTCAATGGAAGAACTGAATGTGGCTCTTGCTTCATGCAATCGATCGTCATCGCCTGGACCGGATGGCATATCATACCGCCTATTACGCAATCTCGGTGATCGAGCACGAAGTGCTTTGCTGGAAGTATTCAATGAGTCTTGGAGAGATGGAACGGTCCCCAGAGAGTGGAAAACAAGCCGGTTGGTTGCACTTCTCAAACCTGGAAAATCGCCTCTAGAGCTGACATCATACCGCCCAATAGCGCTGGCTAGTTGCGTAGGGAAGCTGATGGAGCGAATGATCCTTGCCAGACTCGAGTGGTTCCTAGAACGCCATAGAATATATCCAGACGCCATGGCCGGTTTTCGTCGTCTTCGGAGCTTCATTGACAATGTCATTGACCTGGTGACCTACGTACAACACCAGAAAATGAGCAGACGGTTATCTGTCGCACTATTTTAGATGTCAAAGGAGCATATGACAATGTTTCTCACGAAGCCATACTTGACGCCCTCGAGTCAGTTGGTTTGGGTGGGCGAGTGTACCGCTGGATCCAATGCTACCTACATATGAGATCATTGTTTATGCAAACTGATGATGGGCCGACTTCTGAACATTATACACACCGTGGTGTTCCTCAAGGTGGTGTATTGAGCCCCACACTGTTCAACCTGGTTCTGATCGGTCTCGTTGAACGCATACCAGATTCCGTGCAGATATCTCTCTATGCAGATGATATTTGTGCCTGGACATCAGGTGTAACACGTCCTCAGGTACGTGCGAGACTCCAGAAAGCAGCGAATTCAATATCGGCGTACCTTAGAGAACAAGGCCTCGAGATTTCTCCTGAGAAATCGGCGCTGGTCGCGTTCACGCGGAAGGCAATGACGTCATATCCCATCGCCATCGATGGACACAGTGTCTGCTACGCCAGGACCCACAGGTTTTTGGGGGTCACGATCGATCGAAATCTCTGCTGGAGTCCCCATGTGGCCACTCTAAAGAAGCGCCTAACGGCCATCGCACAACTTTTCAAGTTCCTCGGAGGCAAAACGTGGGGCACATCAGTGCACGCGATGTTGCATTTGTACAAAACGCTGTTTCTGGGGTACCTGCGGTATAGCTTGCCGGTTCTGACGAACGCTTGCAAAAGCAATATACGCACAATAGAAAACGCCCAGGGCCAGGCACTCAGAGTTTGTCTTGGATTACCACGCTGTACATCAACAGCGGAAACCATCGCAATCGCCAAAGATCATCCGGCCACAGTGCACATTACTTTGGAGGTGCTTAGAGCTCATATTAGACACCTTGCTCGCGCCCCTGCCCACCACCTAGCTTCGCTTCCAGAAGATCGACCGAGTGCCTCCTTCTGTAAGAGAGTATTGACTTTCCGTGAGTGCCTTCCAACAGTCTACACGCCTCCGGAACGGATACTAACACCTCCTTGGTGCTTGGACCGACCAAAACTGCGCTTGACAGTGCCGGGGATTCGCAAGAAGGCGGAGCTCTCGGCGCCAGCTCTAAAGCAGATGATTCTACTCATGCTACACGAAGAATACAAAGATCATGTCAAACTTTACACGGATGGCTCGACAACTGTTGGAGGATCTGCAGGAGCTGTGATCTTCCCAGCAAGAGCCGAAACCATCCAGTTCAGAACG